CTGCTGAAGGGAGGGAGACAGGGAGGGAGGGGGTGTAAGTGGGGATGGGAGGAAGGCTGGGGGGACAGGTGCCAGAGGATGCACAGGCCAGATGAGCCAGGGCCAGGGGCCGGGTCTCCTGGGCCATCGTCAGGACGTTGGGCTTCAGGGCTAGGCGGGTTGAAGCCATCTGAGTGTCTTCCATGGGGGAGGGGCGGGGAGGGGAGCAGATGTGTGTTTTGAAAAGGTCCCTCTGGCGTCGCACTGTGAGTGGGCTATGGGGGATGGGTGGGTGTGAGAAGGCCCTTAGACGGCCACTGTCAAGACCAGGTGGTAGGGAGGTGAGGAGGAGCTGGTGGATTTGAGGGCAGAACTGGACAGGAGAGCCTGGTGGGTGAGAGGCTGTGCAAGACGACCCAAGCTCTCACGCTGCCTGGCTGTGTGACTTAGGCAAGTTTCTTGACCTCTCTGTGCCTCAGTTTCCCCATCTGTAAAATGGGATGGATAGTAGGTATAGGGTGGGGCCTGGGATTCTGCATTTTGAGCAAGTTCACAAGGGATGCCGTGCTGCTGGCCCAGGTTCCTCCCCTTGAGTAACAGAGCTGAGGGCCCCTCAGGATGGATTTGGGGTGCCCCTCCCCGCTCTGCCCGGCTCTGGCCCCTTTGGATATTTTGTGTTTGATTGCACTCTTCCACCCCAGCGCCCCCTCCCCGCTGTAGACGCTCAGCTGCTACAGGTGTGGCCCAGCCCCCGTTCCTCTCCACGCTGAGTCCGGTGGGGCTTTCTGGAAGTGATATTTACCAGGTTTCATAGGGAAAACCAAACCATCTGAAACTAGACAGGCCTGGAAATGGGAAGGTTTCAGGCCACTCTCTCTTTATCTTGATGCCACTAAGGTTGAGCAACAGGCCTTTGGTTGTACAGCTCATCACGCTGCGGACACCTTGCTCTGCCTCGAACCTGCCGGGGAACCCCACCCAAAAGCCCCCCTTCCAGGCCTCGGGCTTCCCCCTCCCACTCTCCCCGTTCTGTCCCCGCTTCCCTCCCAGGCCATGGCCAGAGCCCAGCCCAGCTGTGTCTCCCCCTTCCCCAGGGGCAGCGGGAGCTGATGGGCTGTCCAGGGGCTGGGCCCATGGCCAGTGGCAACTGGTGGGGCCCTCGAAACTCAGGAGGTCAGACTTCCCGGGCTGCCGCTAACATAGGTGCCCAGGCTGCTGCCCTCTCTGCCAGGAGCTGGGGTGGGTGAGGGGCCCCTGTGAGTGGGCAGTGGGAGACCATGGGGGTGGGGCAGTGGGAAGATGGGAGAGAAGGCAGAGAGAGTGATGATGGAGCTGGGGTGAGCGCTGTGCCTGGGGCATGAGACTGGACCAGGTCTTGGGGACCACAGACAGTGCTGCAAGGGCGAAGCTCAGGTCCCCAGGTGCCACCTCTTTCTACTTACGGCCTGGGAATACCCTGGGAAGGTGGGGTGGCCTCCTGACTGGAGCCGCAGCTCCTGGAGGGCGCTCGGGGCCACCCAGCTCTCCGGCACACAGTAGGTGCTGCGTGCGCTTGTGCGGTGGTCAGCAGTCAGCTGACCTGCACTCAGCGCCTGACCCGCCACACGGTGTGAGCTTGGGCGGGTCTTTCACCTCACAGACTAGCTTCCATGGTAACGGGGTCTCTCAGGGCTGTGGGTTCAGTAACTGCTGTTGCTACGTCTACATGCATTGCATTGACCCCATTTTCTGGGTGCCTGTAAAGCGATGACATCATAGACAACAACAAAAAATTCCCCAGTGTCTCTGCCAGAGAAGGCCAGCCCAGTGGGAGTGGGGTGGAGGGTGGGGCTGAGTGATGCCCCCACCTCGACCCCACCTACATCTCTGGGAATGTCTGGGGGAGCTGGGGTCCAGCACGGCCATAGGTTTAGGGGAGTAGCCCCTTCCCCATAAGCCGCATATGAAACGGAGGCCCCGGTCCTCTACTCCCTTGGTGGGGCTCTGATGGGCTACAATTGCCCCTCTGGACAGCAGGAAGACAGCTCCCCCTGGTGGCAAGCCATGGCCTTACACAGATTTATTGTTGAGCTGCTATTTATCTATGTGGTTTTATACAATTGTTTTATTTCTCTCTCTTTATGTATATACATTATTATTATTATTATTATTAATTATTATATTTTACTGAGCCATTTGCAAGTTTGTTGCAGCCATTTTGATCCTTCACCCTAAACATATCAGCATCTTCTCCAACAAGGGCATCTCTGCCTTAAGTTCACGTTCAGGCATTCGACATGGGTACAACATAATCAGACATAAAGTCCTCGTTCACATTTCGTCAGCACCTCAAATTCTCCTTTACAGCGATCCCTGCCTTCCGCCTCGACTCGGGGTCCAGCCCAGACATTGCGTTTAGTTGTCCCATCTCTCTAGTCTTCTTTATTCTGGAACTTTCCACAGCTCTTCTTTCTTTCATCGTTGGCATTTTTAAAGAGTCCAGGCTAGTTGTTTTGTAGAAAGGCCTTTGGTTAGGCTTTATCTGATGTTTCCTCATGATTTGGTTCGGATTATGGACTTTTGGTAGAAAGACCACAGATACGATAGGCCCTTCTTAGGACATTTTTATTTAAAACTAGAGGCCCAGTGCATGAAATTCGTGAATGGGTAGGGTCCCTAGGCCTGGCCGGTGATCAGCACCGATCTGTGGGATGACTGGTGGGGTGATCCAGTGGGGGCCCCCGCTGGCACCTGCCTTGGCTGGCCTAGGGCCTGTGGGCTGGGGGAAGCTCCTGCATTGAGCGCCTGCCCCGTGGTGGTCAGTGCGCATCATAGGAACCAGTTGTTCTGCGGTTGGTCTATTTGCATATTAGGCTTTTATTATATAGGACTAGAGGCCCGGTGCATGAAATTCATGCACAGGGGCAGGGGGTGTCCCCTAACCCCAGCTTGCACCCTCTATAATCCGGGACCCCTTGGGGGTTGTCCAACTGCCTAGGATCGGGCCTAAACTGGCAGTCAGACATCCCTCTCATGATCTGGGACCACTGGCTCCTAACTGCTCACCTGCCTGCCTGCCTGGTTGCCCCTTACTGCCCCTCCCCCCCGCTGGCATGGTCGCCCCAACTGCCTCCCCTGTGGGCCTGGCCGCCCCAGGCAGCCTGCTGCTCGGTCGCTTGGTCACCCCTCACTGACCCCCCTGCTGGCCTGGCCGCCCCACGCAGCCTGTTTGGTTGTCCATTCGGTTGCGGTGGTCACTTAGGTTTTATGTATGTAGATGGGGAAAGCCTGTGACCCAGAGAGGGGGAGAGAACTGGGAACACAGGGAAGCTCCAATGTCCTCTCTGCCCTTATTGCTGTGTGGCTTTGGGTGGGTGATTGCCCCTCTCAGGTGCAGTTTCCTCACCTGTGACATGAGGTGGTGATCTGGCCCCAGAGGGCTGGGTGGCATAAAGGAGATGTGTGACGGGGGTAGTGATACTAGATACAGTGAGTTCCCTGTTCTCTGCCCCTAACACCCCTCCAATGGCCTGGGCTGTGGCGGCAGGAGGTGAAGGGCAGCCAGGCTCGCCTCCTCTGTCCCCGGGCCCTGGGGAGCCCATAGCTGTTGATGAGATGAGCAGGCAGGCTGGGCGGGGAAAGCCCAGGCCCCAGAAATTTCCCCGCACTCAGCAGGCCCAGCAGGGCTGAACCCTCACCCCGGCCCAGCCACCCATAGGCTTCCAGGCTCACTTGGTGGATGCTTTGGGCCAGGGAGGACCTAGGTGGTCCCAGCAGGTCCCTGCCCCTGGAGAGGCCAGCAGCCTGGCTCACTGGAGGGAGGAGGCTGGGTGTGCGCGGGCAAAGCTGGTGCCTAGAGGTGTGCAAACGTCAGGTGATATTTATTATTTCAGATTTATGTGGTGATGTTTCAGGTGAGCAAAAATAGAAGAATGTTATGCACGCTTCACGTATCCACCCACCTCCTGTTACACGGGCCTCCTGGCTGCTCTCTGACCTTAATAGAAAAATGTTTTCATTTTTCACTCTTCCCTTAGTGGAGAGAAGAACAGAGAAGCCCCTTAGGCAGCCAGGCCTCTGGGGTGGGGGTAAATGGCTTCTGCTTTTCTCCCCCGAACCAAGAGGGCCCCACCCCACACATCCCATAGGTGGCCCCTCCTGTCTGTCAGGCACCTTCGGGGCTGCTGTAGGTACCCTGGTGGCTCCCTCCCACCTGGTCTTCTCCCCTCCCCCACCCTCCCTCCCTGGAGCTCCTGGTTGTGGGTGAACCCAGAAACCTGCTTCATGCCCCGCTTTCATTCTATCAGGAAGGACAGAAGTCCTTCCCCAAAGTCTCAGCAAGACTTTCCTCTCTCTCTTTTTTTAAAAATATATTTTTATTGATTTCAGAGAGAGGGAGAGAGATAGAAACAGCAATGATGAGCGAGAACCATTGATGGGCTGCCTCCCGCTCACCCTACACTGGGGATCGAGCTGGTAACCCTGGCAGGGGCCCTGACCGGGAATTGAACTGTGAGCTCCTGGTTCATAAGTTGAAGCTCAAGCAGGGAGTCTTAAGTTATGGAGGCTGGAGTTCGAGGAGATGTGAGAACAGGTGTTTCTGTCCCTTTGGTAACATGAGGCTTGGTCTCAGGCCTGGCCTTGACAGTGAGTGGAGACCTGGCCTCCTGGGACCTGAGGGTCCGGAGCAGCGGTTCTCAACCTGTGGGTCACGACCCCTTTCACGGGGGTCGCCTAAGACCATCGGAAAACACATATATAATTATGTATTGTTTTTGTGATGACTCACTATGCTTTAATTATGTTCAATTTGTAACAATGAAAATACATCCTGCCTATCAGATATTTACATTACGATTCATAACAGTAGCAACATTACAGTGATGAAGTAGCAACGAAAATAATTTTATGGTTGGGGGTCACCACAACATGAGGAACTGTATTAAAGGGTCGTGGTATTAGGAAGGTTGAGAACCACTGGTCTGGAGGGAAGATGGGTGTCTGGGACCCACCAGGCCTCACCAGTTCATCTTACCCTCCAGGGTCGAGCCCCCACGGACCCCTGTGCTGGACACCCCAACCACCACTATGACAAGGCTGCCGGGAGGTGCTGTTACCGCTGCCCTGAGGGTGAGTGGGGTGCTGGGGCTGGGGAAGGGGGGATTGGGGGTGTGGGCAAGACGGGAGCCAACGTCGTCACTGTCATGTTGACTATCGGTTCTGAAGGCCTTCCCGCCATGAGTTCTTGTTATATATATTGATTTCAGAGAGGAAGGGAGAGGGAGAGAGAGATAGAAACATCAACGATGAGAGAGAATCATTGATTGGCTGCCTCCTGCACACCCCACACTGGGGACTGAGCCTGCAGCCTGGGCATATGCCATGACCGGGAATCTAACTGTGACCGTTTGGTTCATAGGTCGACGCTCAACCACTGAGCTATGCCGGCTGGGCTGTGAATTCTTGTTTTTAATTACTAGCTGCTCCTCATAGAGCATGTACTATATGTGCACTAGACCAAGACCTTCACAATGCATTGCTTCGTCTCATCAGATCCTCACAATTATCCTTCAGGGTTCCCATTTAACTTGCCCAAGGTCACGAACTGGGAAATGGAAGAACTGGCTGGGCTAGAGCCAGGGTTCTGTGACCCCAGAATCAAGCTATCGATATCCCCTGACCGCCCTTCATTTCCAGGCCTGGACGCCCATCCTCTCGGCCTCCAAGCGTTGCCATCTGGAAGGTGACAGGCCACAATGCACAGATCACTGGGGATCTATGGCCTGAGCTGGGCAGGAATCCTGGTCCATCTGTTCCCAGACCACGAGGGCCAAAGGAGCCCATGCTCAGGCCAACGGAGGACCGAGAGAAGCATTTAGGGAAAGAATTTGGTATTTTCTATCTCCAAAAATTGCCCAGTCATTATAGGGGAAAAATAGAACTGTGCTAGCCTTTCTTGCCTTTATTTTATGGGCTAGTGTTGGTTTAGAAGTGTATGTCAGGTGGGTCCCCGTGTTTGTCTGTTTTTAGTGTTTGTGGCCTCAGTGCCTAACTGGCTGGCCACCCACCCACCCATGTTCCTGCCTGTCCACTTGCCTATCTTTTCACCCACTCACTAGCTCATCCGCTGGCCCTCCCGCCGTCTCCTCAGATCCCCCTCCTCCCCGCTCCCATCCCTCTTCCCATCCCCTATCCGTCTAGCCACCTGTCTCAAGTTTGCTCAAGCTGCCATAGCAAAATACCAGAGTCTGGGGGGCTTAGGCCAAAGACATTCATGTTCTCAGTTCTGGAGGCTACAGGTCTTAAGATCAAAGTATTGGAAGGGCTTGGTTTCTGGTGAGAAATCTCTTCTTGGCTTTCAGACAGCTGCCTTCTCATGGCTGAGGGAGGGGTGGGGGGAGAGAGAGAGAGAGGAGATCTCTTTCTCTTCTAATAAGGCCACCAATCCTGTTGGATCAGGGCCCCATCCTTATGACCCCATTTAGCTTAATGACCCCCCAAAAGCCCTGTCTCCAAATATAGACACATTGGTGGTTAGGGCTTCAACATATGAATCTGGAGGGGACACAGTTCAGTCCATAGGGCCACCCCTCCCCCTCCCATCTACCCTCCCATCCATCCCCACCCCTCCCCACCCCCTTTCCATCCACTCGTCCATGCAGCCCTCAGACATTTTTTATTGCTCCTTCTCACAGCGAGGCCACTGGTCACCTTTCCGGCTTTTTCTGCCGTGGCCTTTCTGTAGGAGCTGCTGTGCTTGGTGTCCTCTGGACCTACTGTGAGCTTTCCCGTCTCTGGGCCTCTGTTCATGCCTGTGGGCACCTGGGATGCCCTCCCCCACTGCCCCCCCCGCCCCCCCACCCCTGCTGCAGTCCTGCACCCCTTCCTCCAGGAAGCCTGCCCTCACCAGCCCATGCTGTGTGGCTGGTCGCACCCTGCTTCTCCCAGGCCGCACCCTGCTTCTCCCAGGCCGACTGCAGCCAGAGTTCCGGAGCGTGTGGCCCACTGGCCCTCCTGCTGTCTCTCCTCCCCACTCCCATTTCTCTTCCCATTCTTCTGGCCACCCACCCCTTATCCACTACCCATCTCCCCCTCTCCCTCCCCCCTCCCCCTTCTCCTGTCTGTCCCACGATCCCAGCTGCACGAGAAAGGCAGACACTTCCCACATCCTCCGGCTCCCATGACCCCAGCCTGGTGGGGCCTTGCCAGAGAGCGGGTGGGGAGAGAGGCATCTGGTCCCAGCCTCCCTCCACTTAGACACTATGACCGGGAGGAGGGGCGCCCATTGCCCCACGGCCCTGCAGTGACTGGGGGTGGCTGAGCACCTCCTGCCGCTGTGGTGGGAGGGGCATTTTGGCGGAGTTTTATTGACCTTGTGCTTCCGGGCAGACAAGAGAGGAAAAACAAAAAGCCCACAAAAACCCCTTCCTCCGTGTGTTGGGGAAATTTCTGACATTTCACCGCCCTCCCCCCCGCCATCGGCGCTCAGCTGTGTGGCAGGGCGCGGGGGCGGCTGGTGCAGGAAGGAAACAGGGGACCTTTGAAATTGAGAAGTCAGTTGTCACCGAACCTCTTCTCTGGCCCAGGCCCCTAAAGTCCTTTCCAGCATCCTTGACAGCTGATCCCCAGCCCTCTGCTTACACACCCCTGGTGACGGGGAGCTCACTCGCTGCTTCATCACAGTGGCCGTGATTGACATGGATGGAGCGTGCTCCGTGCCAGCCACTGTGCTGAGCCCTTTGCCTACAGATGAGCTCACTGAACCGGATGGGGAACACGGTGCGGCTCAGGGACTTGTCCATAGTCCCGGGCCAGTAAGTGGCTCAGGTGGGGCTCGCATGTGGCCATCTAACTCGGGACCCCAAGCCCTTCCATCTTATTTGGTGCTGACCCCCATGGCATTGCATTTGGGAGGCAGCAGAACATATCCGAGAAGAGCCCAAACCCCTCACTTACTCTGCACCCCGCTTCCGGGATCAGCCTCCTGCTTGGGCCCAGAGCCGCTGCCCGCAGGTAGGGGCCTCCCGGCCCAGGTGTGGGGGGGCGTGTGAAGCCAGGCCTGGTGCCAGCTGGAGAGCACGGTGTGATGGGGGCCAAGGCAGTGTGTCCCACCTTGTGCCAGGAGCCGAGGGTTTCTGCCAGGGCGGCGAGCAGGGAGGAGGGGAGGCCGCCCTGCCCCTGGCCAAGCCTGGCTGGCCCACAGTCCCCCTCCGCGCCTGCAGTTCCCCTGGGAAACAGGAGAAACACCAGGCAAACATCTTTCACCCCCAACTCCAAAGCCAAGAACAAAGCACTGAGGGCTCCGATGAGTCCAGATGTTCACCTCCGCTCTGGTCCCTGAGCCAGGACTGCCCTGGGCCACTGCCAGGGGCAGAGGTGGGACAGGGGCGGCTTCCCAAGAAGGGCGGCCTGTGGGCTGGGAAGCCCTTGCGACAGGCTGTTAGCATCTAGGGCGGTGCTTCTGGGAGTTGTGGGAACACGCTCCCGGGGGACCTGAACTGGTTGGAACATTCAGGGGGGCTTCCTCGAGGAGCCGGCATCCCAAGGAGTCCTGAGGGCTGTGCCAGGCCACGGTGGGAGGAGGGAGGAGGGCTCTGGTCAGAGGGCACGGAGGATGCCAAGGCCTGGAGTGAGCAAGGGGGGCCACTCAGGGACTGGGTGGGGTTCCATGTGGCAGAAACACAGGGCCTGAAGGGGAGGGGTAGGGGAGGGGAGAGGGGCCTGCGGCCCAGACTCAGGACAGTTTCTGGGGCCCAAGCAGCTGGGGTTGCCTGGCCACCCCAAAGCTCAGCCAGAGGTGGGAGCGGTGACGGAAATGTTAGGACAGACAGACATTTGGAGTCAGAAGCCGCTGATCAGAGGCCGGAGCAGGGGTGGCTGGAGGCGGAGGGGACAGAGGACACTTGGGAGCCAGTTCTGAGAGCGACACCGCAGCTCGCAGCCTCTCTGAACCACTTTGTTTCTGATTGTGAAAGTGATGGTGGAGAAGACCTCCGTGGAATACGGGGGAGAAGACCTCCGTGGAATACGGGGGAGAAGACCTCCGTGGAATATGGGGGAGAAGACCTCCGTGGAATATGGGGGAGAAGACCTCCGTGGAATACGGGGGAGAAGACCTCCGTGGAGTACGGGGGAGAAGACCTCCGTGGAGTACGGCGGAGAAGACCTCCGTGGAATATGGGGGAGAAGACATCCGTGGAATACGGGGGAGAAGACCTCCGTGGAATACGGGGGAGAAGACCTCCGTGGAATACGGGGGAGAAGACCTCCGTGGAATACGGGGGAGAAGACCTCCGTGGAATACGGGGGAGAAGACCTCCGTGGAATACGGCGGAGAAGACCTCCGTGGAATACGGGGGAGAAGACCTCCGTGGAGTACGGGGGAGAAGACCTCCGTGGAGTACGGGGGAGAAGACCTCCGTGGGGTACGGGGGAGAAGACCTCCGTGGGGTACGGGGGAGAAGACCTCCGTGGGGTACGGGGGAGAAGACCTCCGTGGGGTACGGGGGAGAAGACCTCCGTGGGGTACGGCGGAGAAGACCTCCGTGGAATACGGGGGAGAAGACCTCCGTGGAGTACGGGGGAGAAGACCTCCGTGGAATACGGGGGAGAAGAGAAGAGAAATGAGTCAACACTCAGCACGCCGGGCTCCATCTGCTCCAGCCCCTGCGGCCTTTCCGCTCTCTGCTCAGGCCGAGCTGGGCCTCCCTGGGGCCTTGGCCCGCCCAGTGCCCGCTGCCCGGAACCTCGCTGCAGCCTCCTTGCGTCCCGTGGGCCGGGTGGGGCCACCAGACCCAGGGCTCCCTCTCCAGCCCGCTGCCCCCACCCCTGTCCCCCGCTCCTGCTTTCCTCTCCAGTTTGTATCCACGTTGGGAGCGAACGTGCTGATTTCCATGTGACTCGCTGCCCTCTCCTCCCCCGGCTGGAGGGTCAGCTCCCTGGGAGCAGGGCCTCATCCTCAGTCCCTCAATCAGTGCCTGCGCCCTCCTGCCCGCCCGGCTGCTCCGTAGCTGTGAGTTGAGCGGGAAAATCCCACCCCCAAATGAGTCATCGGCCTCGAATTCTGTGCACCGAAAACATCATTCTGAGCAGTGTCCACAGGCGCCCCCTAATGACGAAGGGGCCCGGGCAATGCTGAGAACCCTGGTCTAGAGCCTTTTGGTTGTAACTGACAGAAGCCTGACTCAGGTCCAATCCAGACAAAAGAGAAACAGTGGGCTCAACGACAGAGAAATCCATGGCGCCATAGATTCGGGTTTGAATGACGTCATCAGGAGTCCATTTCTCCGCGTCTGTGGCCTCGCCTGGCCTCGGAGTCACCTCCTTCTCAGGTGGACCCAGCCCGAGCTGCAGCAGCCAGGACAGGGCAGCTCTGGCCCAAATCGCCCTTTGAACCAGGAACCAGTAAAGAGGGGGCTCTTTTCCAGTAGCTTTTGTGAAACTCAGAGATGGGCTCATTGGCTGGCATGGGTCCCATGAGCCAATCACAGTGTTGAAGAAGATGCATTCTGATTGGCCTGCCTGGGTCACGTGCTAATTTTGAAGGATGAAGTATTCTGATTGGTCTGCCTGGGTCATGTGTCCATCCTCAAGGATGAAGCATTCTGATTGGTCTGCGTGGGTCATGTGTCCATCATCAAGGATGAAGCATTCTGATTGGTCTGCGTGGGTCATGTGTCCATCATCAAGGATGAAGCATTCTGATTGGTCTGCGTGGGTCATGTGTCCATCATCAAGGATGAAGCATTCTGATTGGCCTGCCTGGGTCACGTGCTCAGTTGAAGGGCTGTGGGAGACATCCTGGCTAGAACTCACAGACATAAAGTGGGGCAGGACAGGTGAACACCCTGTGGACATCCAGGACGTTCCCAACACGTCTGCCCCGTGCATTCGGTCTCAGCATCATGCCTCTCCCATCAGGGCCTGCTGGGTGCTTTGCCAGCCTCTCAGTCAGGCTGGATTAGGACTATGGCTCCCCGGTTCCCACAATGCAGGGGACTCTGGGAATAATAAGGACAGTGCTCCTGCCCAGCCAGTGTGGCTCAGTAGTTGAGTGTCAGCCTATGAATCAGGAGGTCACGGTTTGATTCCCAGTCGGGCACATGTTCGGATTGCAGGCTTGATCCCCAGTGTGGGGTGTGCAGGAGGCAGTCAATCAATGATTCTCTCTCATCAGTGATGTTTCTATCTCTCTCTTCCTCTTTGAAATCAATAAAAATATAGTACAAAACAAACCCCAAACAGTGCTCACCCAGTGCCTGCTGTGTGCCTGGACTGCTGTGGGACTACGCATGCTTGTCTTCACAGTCCCTTTAATCCTTTCAATGATCCTATTATTAACGTAGTACCCCTGTGGTCACTGTCACTTGCCCAAGGCTACTCGCTTAGCATGTGGCAGCCCTGGAATCCAGGCCCAGCTCTTCTCCCTGACCTGCGCTGCTCTGCCTGCCAGGCGACCAGAGGCAAGGCCTGCCCTCTTGGGGGCATCAACGCCTCCGTCATGAGTTGCGCTGACATGTTGGGGGGTTTAGAAGTGTTGCTGGGAAGGGCTTCGGGGATGAGAGTGGAAGGGGTGCCACTGAGAGTTTGCCAAGGTGGTCTGGCCTGGAGCTTCTCCGCTTCTTTTCCAGGGTCCTCCCCACAGCATCTGTGCCCGCAGGGGCCATCCGGCTGCAGGAAGCAGTGCCAGCAGGACTACTACCTGGACAGGGCCAACCGGTGCACAGCCTGCGTGAGCTGCAGAGGTAAGAGCCTGTCCTCCCCTCCAGGGCTCCTTCCAGCAAAGAGGGGGGCCCTCTGGGGAGAGACAGAACCTAGAAGGGGGGGAGCATCGAGATTTGGTGACTGCACTCTGACCTGGCCCCCTGGTGCCTCAGTTTACCCCTCTGGATTTGTGAATTGATACCAGCCATGACCTTTTGCGCCCATGCTTTTTGGAGAGACTTAGTTAACGTGTTTCCTCAAGGGAGGGACTCACATTTATTGAGTTTAATGTTTGCAGGACCCACAGGGGAAGATTCTTTCCTTCTCCCCACTTTACAGTGAGGACTCAGAGGCTGAGGGAGGTTAAGGGCCTTTCCAGAGTCACACGACTCTGGTGAGGGGCCCACCTGGAGTTTGGAGTGAAGGTCTGACACCAAGAGCTTCCAGCAGAACTCTCTCAAATAAGCACCTTGTTGTGAATTTCTTATGCTTCATGAATGTGGTTTGTGTGCTACCTGGTGTGTGTTTTGCTTTGGTGTGGGTTTTCTGGGGGGTGGTGAAATGTGTTGTGATTTCTTGGCCTAATGAATATTCCTATTTCTTAGCATGTTTAGTGTATTTGGAAAAAAAATGTATATTCTATTTCTTCCATACAGAATTCTACATATACCTATTAGATTAAGTTTATTCATGGTATTATGAAAACAATACACATTCTTATTTAGTTTTGTCACCTTCACAAAGGTTGATTTCTGAGATAGATGTGTTAAAATCTATCTCCTGCCCGGCCAGTGTGCTCAGAGGTTGAGCATCACAGTTTGATTCCAATCAGGGTACAAGTCCGGATTTCAGGCTTGATCACCAGTAGGGGGCGTGCAGGAGGCAGCCGATCAATGATTCTCTCTCATCCTGGATGTTTCTATCTCTCCCTCTCCTTTCCTCTCTGAAATCAATAAAAACATATTTTAAAAAAATCTATCTCCCAATATGCTTGTTTTTCATCAGATTTTCCTTGTGTCCTATTTTTGCTTTGTATATGTCAAAGCTGTGTCATTAGGTACAATGTTCATGAACATTATGTTTTCTTGGCAAGTTGGACCTTTTATTTCTTTGTTCCTCATAAGGTGTTTGCCTGGATTCCATTTTTGTTTGATACTAGTATTGCCATTCTTTATTTCTGTGAGCATTTCTCTGGTAGAGCTTTCAAGTTTTAAAACGAATGCCTGCATTTGATTAAGTGAAAGTTATAGGCGTTTTCTACCCCAAATTCAACCAATAGAGAAGTGCAAGGAAGAAAGCCAACTCTGCCCCTCCCCCATCGCTGGATGATTGACGCTTCTCTGTATAGAGAGAAGAACGGGTAGGCTAGTAGCTAGACTACACATACATGGAAAGAAGGAACTTTTAAGAGGATAAGATAATACTATCTATGGCATTAAAATGATGACATTTATTTATTTATTAACATTTATTGATTTTTTGGAGGGAGGGAGAGAGAGAGAGAGAGAGAGAGAGAGAGAGAGAGAGAGAGAGAGAGAATTGTTGTTCGCTTATGTATGCGTTCATTGGCTGATTCTTCTATGTGCCCTGACCCGGGATGGGACCTGCAACCTTGGCGTATTGAGAGGATGCTCTAACCACCTGAGCCACCTGGCCAGGACCGGAACTTTTTCATCTTACCCAACTGAAACTCTGTCCCCACTAAACATTAGCTCTCAGCTCCCCCCACCCCCCACCCTTTGGCAACTACCATTCTACTCTCTTTGGCAACTACCATTCTACTCTATGAATCGAGTACTCCAGGAAGTTCATATGTATGTGGAATCATGAAATTTTATCCTTTTGTGGCTGGCTTATTTCACTCACATAACCCTCACGGTGCCTGACCTGGTAGCATGTGTCAGAATGTCCTTCCCCCTTAAGGCTGAACAACATTCCATTCTATGTTTATCTGCCCATGTCGGTGGGCACTTGGTTGTTCCGCCTTTGAGCTAGCGTGACTGATGCTGCCGTGAGCATAGGGGTCACGTATCTTTTCGATGTAGTGTTTTGGATTTCTTCGAATAAATACCCAGGAGTGGAATTTCTGGGTTATAAGGTAGTTTTATTTTCAAGTGCCGTTTCCCATAGTGGCTGCACCAATTCACAATCCCAGCAGCCGGGCGCGAGGGTAGGTAGGGGGCTCCCTTTCATGGCTCTGTTTCCTCTGAGAATACTGATTGGACTGACTCTACAGGCTGTTTTCCCTGTGTCTGCTTCCTCGAGCATTAGTGCATGTTTGAGTCTGGGGCCCTTTCATCTTGTTTTTTTTTTTTTTTATTGCTTAAAGTGTTACAAAGAGTATTACATATGTCTCCTTCCCCCACTGCCCCCTTGACATTCCCCTGGCCTCCCCTACCCCCCAGTGTCTGTGGCCATTGGTTATGCTCGTATGCATGCATACAAGTCCTTCAGTTGATCTCTTACCACCCCCCTACCCGCCCCCCAACCCTCCCCGGCCTTCCCGCTGTACTTTGACAGTCTGCTCGATGTTGCTCTGCCTCTGTATCTATTTTTATTCATAAGTTTATAATGGTCTCTATTATCCATAAATGAGTGAGGTCATGTGGTATTTTTCCTTCATTGACTGGCTTATTTCACTTAGCATAATGCTCTCCAGGTCCATCCATGCTGTTGCAAATGGTAAGAATTCCTTCTTTTTTACAGCAGCATAGTATTCCATCATGTAGATGTACCACAGTTTTCTAATCCATTCATCTACTGATGGGCACTTAGGCTGTTTCCAGATCTTAGCTATGGTGAATTGTGCTGCTATGAACATAGGGGTGCTTATATCCTTTCTGATTGGTGTTTCTGGTTTCTTGGGATATATTCCTAGAAGTGGGATCACTGGGTCAAATGGGAGCTCCATTTGTAGTTTTTTGAGGAAACTCCATACTGTCTTCCATAGTGGCTGCACCAGTCTGCATTCCCACCAGCAGTGCACAAGTGTTCCTTTTTCTCCACATCCTCTCCAGCACTTGTCGTTTGTTGTTTTGTTGATGATAGCCAGTCTGACAGGTGTGAGATGGTACCTCATTGTTGTTTTGATTTGCATCTCTCGGATGATTAGTGACTTGTTTAGTGAGCATGTTTTCATATGTCTCTTGGCTTTCTGAATGTCCTCTTTTGAAAGGTGTCTATTTAGGTCCTTTGCCCATTTTTTGATTGGATTGTTTATCTTCCTTTTGTTAAGTTGTATGAGTTCCCTATAAATGTTGGAGATTAAACCCTTATCAGTGATAACATTGGCAAATATGTTTTCCCACACAGTGGGTTTTCTCGTTGTTTTGTTGATGGTTTCTTTTGCTGTGCAGAAGCTTTATATTTTGATGTAGTCCCATTTGTTTATTTTCTCCTTAGTTTCCAATGCCCTAGGAGCAGTATCAGTGAAGAAGTTGCTTTGGCATATGTCTGAGATTTTGTTGCCTTTGGATTCCTCTAGTATTTTTATGGTTTCCCGTTGTACATTTAAGTCCTTTATCCATTTTGAGTTTATTTTTGTGTATGGTGTAAGTTGGTGTTCTAGTTTCATTTTTTTGCATGTATCTGTCCAATATTCCCAACACCGTTTATTGAAGAGGCTGTCTTGACTCCATTGTATGTTCTTGCCTCCTTTGCCAAATATTAATTGAGCATATTGGTTCGGGTCGATTTCTGGGCTCTCTATTCTATTCCATTGATCTATATGTCTGTTCTTGTGCCAGTACCAGGCAGTTTTGAGAACAGTGGCTTTGTAACACAGCTTGATATCTGGTATTGAGATCCCACCTACTTTGTTCTTTCTCAGGATCGCTGCAGCTATTCGGGCTCTTTTTTTATTCCAGATGAATTTTTGGAGAGTTCGTTCTAGATCTGTGAAATATGCCATTGGTATTTTAGTGGGAAGTGCGTTGAATTCATAGATTGCTTTGGGTAGTATGGACATTTGAATGATGTTGATTCTACCAATCCATGAACACGGTATGTTCTTCCATCTGTTTATGTTTTCCTCTGTCTCTTTTTTCAACATCCTGTAGTTTTCTGAGTCGAGGTCTTTTACCTCTTTAGTTAAGTTTATTCCTAGGAATTGGGACCCTTTCATCTTCGTGCTGGTTTCCTTGTGGAACCCACTCCAGTGGCCATGGGGGAGGTGGGAGGGACGGGTCTGCCAGTGGCTGGTCTTCTGGGTCTGAGGGTCCTTTCTCTCAGGTCTGACCATCCCCAGGGCACCGCTCAGCTCCCTCCCCCCAGAGCCTCCTTGGGGAGATGCTTGGCTTCCAGCTCTGCGGCATCAGCGGAGGAGGAATCTGGGACACTGACCGCCTGGATGCTCCTGTCCCATTCCCTGGGGCCCGTCCCTGCTGGGCCCTACGCAGAGACTGGAGCATCCCGGGGCCTCTCCCAGCACAGTCCTCTGGGACGTATTTTGGGCTGTGGCCTCCTTCTTCCATCAGTCCCATCTGCCTCCCACATTGGAGGGAGTCTGTCATTTCTGGTTGGCCAAGGAAGCCCCTTACTGTTCTCCAGGGATGTTTGCGTTCACTCATTCATTACTTTTACCAGTGACTTTTCTATTTGAGATAAAATTCACCATTAACAATTTTTTTCATAATGCATTTAGTATGTTTGGTGTTTTTATTTCTTTCTTTATTTTAAAATATATATATTTTTATTGATTTCAGAGAGGAAGGGAGAGGGAACAAGACATAGAAACATCAATCGATCGGCTGCCTCCTGCACACGGCCCACTGGGAATTGAGCCCACAACCCAGGCGTGTGCCCTGACCGGGAATTGAACCGCGACCTCCTGGTTCATGGGTTGATGCCCAACCACTGAGCCACGCTGACCGGGCCTGTTTGGTATTTTTAAATGCTTAGTGCTTAATTCAGCAAATGCTCAGGTCACCACAAAACCAAAGTCTATGAGATTTCAAAGCATGGTCAGACTGCAAGCATGGAGAAGGGCAGTCAGTCATTGCTGGCCTTGCTTTGGGCTCCCTCTAACTAATAACTACCAGACATTAGTAATAGAAAAAAGTGAACGCTCTTTATTTGTGTCCTTTGTGCCCTGTAGGTTTAGCACATAATTATTAACAAGATGAATAGTAATTGGTTACCCTAATAGAAGTTAGCAAATGCATAGCTGCTGACATTGCACTATGTAACAGTATTTACTGACCCTTTTAATATATGTGCTCTAGGGAACAATAAAAGGAGTTTGCACACCTGGGCCTCATGTGCAGACCTCCTAATACTTAGCGCCTTATTTTTTTAAAAAAATATATTTTATTGATTTTTTACAGAGAGGAAGGGAGAGGGATAGAGAGTTAGAAACATTGATGAGAGAGAAACATCGATCAACTGCCTCCTGCACACTCCCTACTGGGGATGTGCCCGCAACCAAGGTACATGCCCTTGACTGGAATCGAATCTGGGACCCTTGCATCCGCAGGCCGACGCTCTATCCACTGAGCCAAACCGGTTAGGGCTTAGCGCCTTATTTTTAACATAATTGGGATATTGTGATTCATTTAGTTTGTAAAAGTCACTATTTTAAAATATTTTATTGATTGATTTTGAGAGAGAGAAAGAGGGAGGGAGGGAGAGAGAGAGAGAGAGAGAGAGAGAGAAACATCACTTTGTTGTTCCACTTGTCTATGCATTCACTGGTTGATTCTTGTATGTGCCCTGACTGGGGATCAAACCTATTATAACCCTGGAGTATCAGGATGATGCTCTAACCAACTGAGCTATCCAGCCGGGGCTAAAATTCACCATTTTAAAGTGTGCAGTGCAGTGATTTTATTATACTGGACTCACCCTGTGCCGCCACCACCACTATCGAATTCCAGAACATTCTACCTCCCCCCAAAGAAACCCATTGCCTCCCACGTCTTTCCTCCTCCCATCCCCCCACCCACTTTCCGTCTCCGTGGACTTGCCTGCCTTGGACGTTTCATGGAAGTGGAGTCCCAGGGTGTGTGGCTCAGTGTCCGGCTTCCCTAACTGTAGTGTGTTTGAGGCAGATCCGGACGGAACAGGCGTCGCACGTCACCCCTTTTCACGGCTGAGCGTGATTGCTTTGGTGGATGGGCCACGTTTTGTTTGTGGTGTCGGTGGACACTTGGGTAGCTCTACTTTTTGGCTGTAACGAATAGAGCTGCTCTGACCCTGTACGAGTGTTTGTGTAGACATAGGCTTTCAGTTCTCTCGGGTAGCTATGTAGGGGTGGAATTGCTGGATCATAGGTAAATCTATGTTTGGCTCTGGCTGGGCAGCTCAGGTGGTTAGAGAGTTGTCCCCATATGCCAAGGTTGTGGGTTCGATCCCTAGTTAGGGCACGTACGAGAATCAACCAATGAATGCATAAATAAGTGGAACAATAAATCGACATCTCTCTCTCTCTCTCTCTCTCTCTCTCTCTCTCTCTCTCTCTCTCCCTCCCTTCCTTTCTCTCTCTCAAATCAATAAATAAAACTAAAAACAATAAATCTATGCTTACACTTTTGAGGAACCGCCAAACTGGTTTCCTCAGCCCAATCTAATTCCCATCCCCGCCAGCCTGGTGTGAGCTGCCGGTTTCTCCACCCCCTCGCCAGCACTTGCTGTTGTCTGTCTTGGCGACTGCAGCCATCCCAGTGGCTGTGAAGTGGCATCTCATTGTGGTTTTGGTTTGCATTTTCCTAAGGACTAATGATGTTGGGCATCTTTTCATGTGCTGACTGGCCTTTTGTGTATCTTCTCTGGAAAAACATTTTCTTAAATCCTTGGCTCATTAAAAAAATACTTAATAGATCTTTCTTTTTTAATAAAAGGTAGAAGAGCCATTTTAAAATTTTATATATATATAAATATATATACGTATGTACATATATATATATATGTATATATATATATATATATAGAAGAGAGAGAGAGAGAGAGAGAGAGAGAGAGAGAGAGATTGATTTCAGAGAGAAAGGGAGAGGGAGAGAGAGAAACATTAATGATGAGAGAGAATCATTGATCGGCTGCCTCCTGCACGCCCCCTATTGGGGATGGAGCCTGCAACTAGGGCACGTGCCCTTGACGTGGAATCGAACCCGGGACCCTTCAGTCCACAGGCCGATGCTCTAGCCACTGAGCCAAACCAACCAGGGCCTTAATAGATCTTTTTAAAGAACAGTTTTCAATTTATAGAAAAATTGAGCAGAAAGTACTGAGAGTCCCCCTATGGCCCCCTCTCTGCTACGCCCCACAGCCTCTCCTATTGTGAGCACCTTGCATGGGTGTGGTGTATGGTTACAGCTGATGAGCCAGGACCTGTACGCGATTAACTAAAGTTCATAGCTTACTTTAAGGTTCACTTTTTGTGTTCGAAGTTCTATGGCGTTTGACAAACGTGTCATGTCCTGTGTCCACTGTTGCAGGATTTGCAGGGTAGTCTCAGCCCCTAAAATCCTCTGAGCTCTGCCTGTCTCTCCTCCCCTACCCTTTACCTGGACCGGGCGGCCACTGGTCTCCTTACTGTCTCCGTAGTTTTGTCTTTTCCAGAACGTCATAGAGTGGAGTCAGCCTTTACAGATTGGTTTCTTTCACTTAGAAACACATGGTTAATGTCCTGCCACGTCCTTTTTGTGCATTTTATTTTTAAAAAAATATATTTTTATTGATTTCAGAGAGGAAAGGAGAGGGAGAGAGATGGAAACATCAATGATGAGAGAGAATCATTGATTGGCTGCCTCCTGCACGCCCCACGCTGGGGATCGAGCCCATAGCCTGGGCATGTGCCCTGACCAGGAATCGAACCATGACCTTCTGGTTCATAGGTCGACACTCAACCACTGCGCCATGCAGGCCTGGCGCCCTATTTTAAAATTGGGACATTGATTTATTTTTAATACCAGTTTAGTGATCTCCAGGGACGTGGGCTGGGAGGTGGCTGCCTCAGGACCCTGCCTGCCCGGCGGAAGGCCGCAGCAGCCCTCTCTCGCGCGGGCAGACTGTCCCTTCCCTCGCCCTCCCTCTGTCCTCTGTGACCCTCCTCTGTGCCCTTTAGACGACCTTGTGGAGAAGAAGCCATGTTCGGGGAACTCCCCCCGCGTCTGTGAGTGCCGGGCCGGCATGTTCTGTGTCACGTCAGCCTCCAACTCCTGTGCCCGCTGCCTCCCCCACTCCGTCTGCCCCCCAGGGACGATTGTCAAGTTCCCCGGTAAGTACCCCACCCCCAGCCCGGGCCTGAGATCTGTGCCCACACCGTCTCAGCCCTGCCGACCTCCAGATGACCCCGCGCCTCCCACGGCCTCCCTGTGGGGCAGATCACGGCTTCTTTCACGATGATGCCATCAGTGCGCCAGGCACCAGGGCCCCTGTGCCCCTCCCCCTCCCCTGTGTCCCAGGCTCAGAGAGACCCTGGGGGCCCAAGGCACAGGCCTGGCTGGAGGGGGTCTGGGATGGTTTGAGCCTCGGGGTTCTCGGGGGCAAGAGAGAAACCTTAAGTCTCTGTCCTGGGAGACTCCTGGGAGTGAGAGGGGCAAGAGGCTGGGCACCAGGCTCGAGACTGGAAACCGCTTTCTTCTCCAACTTGCGGTGTGGCCTCAGGCAACTTCCTTACCTTCTCTGGGCTTCTGAGTGTCTGACAAGGAGGGCCAGGAGGCCAGAGAGGAAATAAAGGCCACAGGTCCCATGTGGGCGGCATGGGGACGGCCTTCCAGAAGGGAGGCCGGGGGAGCAGGTGGGTGCTGGACCACAGCCCAGAAGAGGTGCCACTGCCACAGGGGATCAGAGGGAGCCATGTCCGCTGGGGCTGAAAGTGCCCATGACCTGGTCCTTCTCCAAGGTCCCATCCCACCTCCTCTCCTCCACCCTCTCCCTCCCCTCCCTGACCTCCCAGCCAGCCCAGCCACCATTCCCACAGATTTTGCCTCCCAATTCTCTCTCCTGCTCTCACCCCAGTTTCTCCCCGTGGCAGGCAGCCACAACCTCCCTTGCAAAACCACGTCATATTTTGTGTGTGTCTCCCTCACATACCTGCCTAAAAATAATAAAATATATTTTTATGTAGGTATATTTAATATAAAATAAATACTGACTTGTATTAAAATATTTTTTAAACATATTTTTATTAATTTTAGAGAGGAAGGGAGAGGGAGAGAGTGAAAGAGACATCAGTGATAAGAGAGATTCATTGATCGTCTGCCTCTTGCAAGCCCCACACTGGGGATCCAGCCCTTAACCCGGGAATGGGCCCTGACCGGGAATTGAGCCACTGAGCCCCGAGGGCCGGGCTAGGGGACTCTTGTCTTAAAGCCTGTGTACGTGGGCATCTCTGGGTTGCTGGTTTGTTGGGCTCCAAGTCTGAGATATGTGGAGCAAAGAGAAGACCAGGGGACCCTCCTCCGGCCCCATGGCCCCTGGCCTGCCCGCCTTCCCCTTTCCCGTTCAGTCATTTAGTGCCTCGTGGAGGAGGCAGGGAAAGCGCACCCATCTGCAGGGTCTCGAGGATGCGATTTGCACCAGGACCTCCCGTGGTGTGGCCCCTCCTTCCTCCAGCCCAGCTTTCAGCACCAGCCCTGGCTAACTGGGCCCCACCTGGTCTGTCACTTTCCCCTTCTACCAGGCCTTTGCATATGCTGTTCCCTTGCTCTGGGACACCCTTCCCTCCCCATTCACTTAGTTAACTCCTACTCAGCCTTGAGCTGGGTCACACAAAACACTCTGCTAAGGGACACGCAGAAGCCCGCCACCCACAAACAGGGGCAGAGTGGTGGGGTGGAAAGCGCTCCGGACTGAGCATCTGATGCCTGGGGTTTCATAGAGCTCTGCATCTGTGGGGTGTGTTCCCAATGCTCTCTGGGCCTCAGTCTCCCCATCTGTCAAATGCCTTGAGTTCAGTTGTTCCAGGCAGTGATGGCGAACCTATGACACGCGTGTCAGAGGTGACACGCGGACCCATTTTTTTGGTTGATTTTTCTTTGTTAAATGGCATTTAAATACGTAAAATAAATATCAAAAATATAAGTCTTTGTTTTACTATAGTTGCAAAGATCAAAAAATTTCTATATGTGACACGGCACCAGAGTTAGGTTAGGGCTTTTCAAAATGCTGACACGCCGAGCTCAAAAGGTTCGCCATCACTGAACTAGGGTGTGTGGACCAGTGATTCCCTGTGATTGCCACACGGTGGCGCCAGAGTCCTCTCTTTGCTGCCCCTACCCACCCTGCCTGAGGCGATGCCAGTGGCTGGCCACATGTGGTCATTGAGCACCTAAATGTGTCCAGTGGCATTAAGATACGCTATCAGTATAGAATATGCATGGATTTCAAGTACTTAGTATAACAATGTGAAACATCTCATAATTATTATTTAAAAAATATTTTTATTGATTTCAGAGAGGGAGAGACAGAAACATCAATGATGAGAGAGAATCATTGATCGGCCGCCTCCTACATGCCCCACACTGGGGACCAAGCCCTCAGTCTGGGCATGTGCCCTTGACTGGAATCAAACCCAGGACCCTTCAGTCCTCAGGCTGACACTCTATCCACTGAACCAAGCCAGCTAGGGCTCATAATTATTTTTTATATTGATTACCTGCTGACACAATATTTTAGATCCATTGAGTTACGTAAACATATTTAAATTAATTTCACATGTTTCTTTTTACTTTTAAAAAATATTTTTATTGATTTCAGAGAGGAAGGGAGTGGGGGAGAGAGATAGAAACATCAATGATGAGAGGGAATCATTGATTGGCTGCCTCCTGCACACACCACACTGGGGATTGAGCTCGCAACCCAGACAAGTGCCCTTGACTGGAATCGAACCCAGGACATCTTCAGTCCGAAGGCCGACACTCTATCCACTGAGCCAAACCAACTAGGGCTATTTTTACCTTTTTAAAATATTTTTGTATTGATTTTCAGAGAGAGAGAGGAAGGGAGAGGGAATGAGAGAGCGAAACATTGCTGAGAGAGAAACAGCGATTGCTTGCCCCTTCCAGGGATCGAGCCTGCAGCCCGGGCGTGTGCCCTGACTGGGAATTGAACCAGCAACCGTTTGGTGCACGGGCTGATGCCCAAGCAACTGAGCCACCCTGGCCAGGGCTGTACTGTTTTTTAATGTGGCTCCTAGAAGATTTAAATGACCCGTGTGGTCTCATCATCTTCCTGTGGGACAGGGCCGCGTTGGGAGGGCTCAGCCTTTGGCTGCCAAACCCTGGCTAACTTCGAGGTTCCCCCGTGGGCTCTCCCAGGGGACAACATCTCTCCAACTGTAAAACGGGAAGTAGTTTCTGGGTCAAGTTCAGTCTCGCCAAGCCCCAGCTAAGAGCTTGCACAGCTCCTGTTCCTGAAATTCACAAAATCCCGCGAGGCAGACTGCATGAGCTCCACGTGCAGGGAGGAAACGGAGGCCCAGGTGGCAGGCACATCGCTCAGGACCACCGAGCGAAGGACATCGGGCGAGGGTTTGAAGGCCACCCCCGGGTCCTGTCTCAGCGACAGGGCAGGAGTCCAGATGCGGAAAGGGACATGGTACTCCCTGGGCACCTGCTGGGTGTCCCACCGTGTGGTAGGCGCACGGGCGCCTCTCTGTCCCGACAGCAGCCCGGGGAAGACGGTGTTCTTACTATAATCCTTTGCCTTGTCTGGCGCGGCTACGACTCGATAGGGGTGACAGGCAAACCCAGGCCCACGTGATGGCGAACGGTGTGAGTTTCCCTCCCCACTCGGCTTCCACCCAGTTAGTCTTCAGGATTCTTTGGGTTGCAAGTGGCAAAATCTCAAATGTTTGGCGCATGTAATTAAAAAGCCTGGGGACAGCTCTGGGTAGCTTCAGGCATGGCTGGATCCAGGCGCCCCGTCCTTTCCTGCCTCTCATCGCTATCTCCTATGCTTAAGTGTCTGTAAGACGCCTCCCAGCAGCTCCAGGCTTGCTCCCTACCCAACCCCAGGGGGGAGACCGCTTCTTCGGCCTACATCTCCAACAACCAAAAGTAAAACCTTGACACTGCATCTCAGACAGGCGTGGCTTAGGTCACGTGCCCATCCCTGAGCCAATCCATCTTGGCCAGAGGAATGGAAGAAATGGAATAATTTGATCGGTCCATCCTGGCCCCATGGCTACTCCTGGAAGGGAAGGAGGAGGGGGGGAGGAAATCAGCCCTAAAACAGATACTGAGATTGGGGGGGGGGGTCCCAGGGAAAATCAGGCTACTTTACCCCCAGGGGAACGGAGGCTGGGCAGGTGTGAACACCAGATGCCACTGAGTTTGCCAAGTGCCCACCCAGGACCGACTCTGGTTTGCGGTGGTAAAAGTCTATTCCTGGCGTCTTCGGACTCCTCAATACTAAGTCTGAAGGCATTGTGTCCCCTGCAGGCACAGCACAGAGGGACACTGTCTGCGAGCCCCCTTCCCCGGAGACCAGCCCTGACTGCGGCACCAGCCCGGAGGACTGCAGGGCGCCTGCCAGGTGACTCCGGCCCTTCCCATCCAGCTCACCTAAGTGTGGGGCTGTCTCACCCACAGGATGCCTGGACCATAGCTGGGCTGGGGGGAGGGAGGCAGGTGGGGTTCAGCACAGGGTGCCTGGGCTCCCGGGCACAGCAGTGAGTGTGGAGAGAGGCCATCCCTGCAAGTCATTTGAGGCCCTACTGTGTGCTCTGCCTGCCCTGATTACGCAGGAGGCACAGGAGGCACAGGAAGCCCAGAAGGTGTAGAAAACACAGCCCTGGCTCCCTGACAGGGGTCTTGCCGGGGGCTGTGGGCAGGAGGTCTGGGGCCCCCTGCGCCATAGAAACAGTTATCCCTGAGCACAGACCTCCCCTGCCCCATCAGCAGAACCATCCGTTCCATCTCTGGCTTTTTTCCCAGCGGCACTACCCCCCCGGCCAAGCCCACCCTGACCTCAGCCAGCTCCGATGCCAGGACCCCGCTTCTTGAAGGGGACACTCCTCTCACCCCCAAAGCTGATTCCAAAATGATGAGGGCTCCCAACTCTCTCTCCCCCGTGGGGAAGCCCAGGCTGGATCCAGGTAATTTCTGCAGAGGAGCTACAGGCCGTTTCCCATAGCAACGGTGTCTGATCGGTGGGTGACCTGTGCGGGGTGGGCAGGCCCTGAGCTGTGGTCTTCCCAGTGTGGGGAGGAGAGGCTGAGGCCTGAGAGCCAGAGTAGACAGTGGGGGCACCCACTCACTTAACAGCAGTTTGGGGTGCCTCCCGAGTGTCGGACTCTCAGGTCGGTGCTGCTGCTTGCAGCAGAGCAGGTGAGCCTCTGCAGGGGTCGGTTCGGCGCCCTCCTGGTTCCCATGGCGACGGGTTGGGGCCCTCCAGTCTCCCCTGTTTATTACTTAATACCTCCCATGGTAGAGGTGCACCACACGGCTTATTTAGACAGATATGTGGGTTGTTTCCACTTTGGGGCTATACTGAATACTGAAAAATCTTTGTGCGAATGTAATTTTTTCATTTCTCTTGTTGCTTTTTTAAAAAAATTCACTTGTAGGACTTCGTATAATTCTGGGTTTTGTCCTACAGTTGTGCTCAAATACATTCCCCACCCCGTGGCTTGCCTTCTCATTCTCTTCTTGGTGTCTTTCCATGAAGAGATGTTCTTAATTTTAATGCAGCCAGATCGGTCCATCTTTTCCTTTGTGACGGGTGCTCACTATTGCTTCGCCTTCCATGTTGAGCTCTGCCATCTACCCTGGTGCGTGTGTATGATGTGAGGCAGCGGTCATGGTAAAGTGTCCACGTGGATATCTAGTTGAACCAACACCATTTACCAAATAAACCGTCCTTTCCCCGCAGCTTTGCACGCCAGCTTTAATGTATGTCAAAAGTCCATGTCTGTGTGGGTGTGATTCTGGACTTTGTCTCCTGTTCCATGAGTCTTCTTTTTTTTTTTTTTTTTTTTTTTTTTTTAAATATATATTTTATTGATTTTTTACAGAGAGGAAGGGAGAGAGATAGAGAGTTAGAAACATCAATGAGAGAGAAACATCAATCAGCTGCTTCCTGCACATCTCCTACTGGGGATGTGCCCGCAACCCAGGTACATGCCCTTGACCGGAATCGAACCTGGGACCTTTCAGTCCGCAAGCTGACGCTCTATCCACTGAGCCAAACCGGTTTCGGCGAGTCTTCTTGTCTGTTGTGTGAACACTGTACTGTCTTAATTCCTGCAGGTTTTCGGGAAGTCTTCCTGGATGGTTGAGCAACTTCTTCAGCTTTGTTCTTCTAGAATTGGCTCTTCTAGTAATTTTCGTTTCCACATACATTTTTTTTTTAAATATATTTTATTGATTTTTCACAGAGAGGAAGAGAGAGGGATTGAGAGTCAGAAACATCAATGATGAGAGAGAATCATTGATCAGCTGCCTCTTGCACACCTCCTACTGGGGATGTGCCCGTAACCAAGGTACATGCCCTTGGCCGGAATCGAACCTGGGACCTTTCAGTCCACAGGCTGACGCTCTATCCACTGAGCCAAACCGGTTAGGGCTCCACATACATTTTTAAAGTTAGTTTTTAACGTTTTTTTAAATTGATTTAAGAGAGAGGAAGGGAGAGGGAGAGACAGTCAGAAACATCGATGATGAGAGAGAATCACCGATTGGCTGCCTCCTGCACGCCCCCTACTGACACTCCAACATGTGCCCTGACCAGGAATTGAACTGTGACCTCCTGGTTCATGGGTCAGTGCTCAACCACTGCACAACACATACATTTTAGAATAAGCTTTTCAAATCCCACAGACTGTCCTGTTGAGATTTCGGTAAGGGTTGCCGTGAAGCTGTTGATCAGTTTGGAGAGAATCCACTGCTGCAGTGTTGAGTATGTGGCATAGCCCTACATTTGTTTAGGCCTTCTTTAAATTCTCCCAGTAATGCTTTATTATTTTTTTCTATGTAGAGATGTTTACATGTTTCTGTTAGAGATCTAGGTATTTGATATTTCTTTTTTAAAAAAAATGTATTTTATTGATTTTTTACAGAGAGGAAGGGAGAAGGATAGAGAGTTAGAAACATCGATGAGAGAGAAACATCGATCAGCTGCCTCCTGCACACCCCCTACTGGGCATGTGCCTGCAACCAAGGTGCATGCCCTTGACTGGAATCGAACCCGCGACCCTTGAGTCTGCAGGCCGACGCTCTATCCACTGAGCCAAACCGGTTAGGGCGGTATTTGATATTTCTGGTGATGTTCCAACAATATCTTTTTTAATACGTCATGTTCCAATTCTTTTTGAACCGTGTGAAATTGCCAATATTTGACTGGCTGACCTATCAAAACAACATTTCCATATGGCTCAACCCACATATACAGACATTTAATTGACTCAGATATCGGAACATTGTCTCCAACTACCTTGCTCGTTCACTTGTTAGTTCTAATGATGCACCTGCAGATTCTTTGGGATTATCTGTGTACTCAGGGATATCATGTCTATAACAGATGGATATCTCCCTTTCTAAAAACTGTCACTTTTATTTCTTTTTCTTGCCTTATTGCATTGCCTGCTTGAATAGACGTTGTGATGGTAGAGCTCCTTGCCTCATTGCTGATCTCAAAGGGCAAGGGCTGTCAAAGCTTTGAGGAGTGAGGGTGGAGTGAGGGCCCTGGCATAGTGGAAATGGTGGATGGATGGATGTGGGGGGCGAGACCAAAGGGATAGGGGGCTCAGAGCTCATCTCCTGTGTGGCCTTAGACACATCCTTCCCTCTCTGAGTCTCATGACCTGCTCTGGGGATGGGTCTGCCATGTGTGGCCACAGAGCTGGGGGGGCTTTAGTGACTGCGGGGAGGTGAGGCCTCTGCCAAGGTGGCCTGACCCGGACTGTCTCTGCTTCTTTCCCCAGGGCGGTCCCCACAGCACCTGTGCCCTCTGGGGTCCACCGACTGCAGGAAGCAGTGTGAGCGGGACTACTACCTGGACAGGGACGGCCGCTGCACAGCCTGCGTGACCTGCTCGGGAGGTAGGAGCCCGTCTTTGCACCAGGGGCGCCTTCCGGGGCCTGGGGGTGGGCGTCTTGCAGGAGAGACTGAGCAGCTGGGGGTGGGGAGCTCTGAGTTCGGTCTTGGGCTGGGCCTGGTTCAGCTCTCCGGTGTCTTGAGGAGTCAGTTTCTAGTGACTCCCCCTCATGGTTGGGGTTGTGATGGCAGCGACCCCTTCTCAGAGACCTTCCATGCACTCACTCTCCCCTGCAAGCGAACCTTTGTCAACCGCCTCCCTGTTCCAAACTCGTCCCGTTATTTTCGTAACTATCGTGTGGTGCACAGGTGGCGATTGTCCCCATTTTACAGAAGAGGAAACTGAGGCTTAGGGAAGTCAAGCGACCGCAGAGGCCACAGTGCAGGGATGGAGTCTGACGTAGGTGTCTGCCCCCAGCGTCTGGGCTCCGGTCCCCGCACAGCGCTGCCTCTTGGAGCAGACACTTAGGGGTGGCCGCTGTGTGCACAGCAGGCTGACATCTGGAGGTGCTTTCCCGGGGGCCAGCTCCCCGCAGCCTCGTAGCACCACCAACTGCCCTGTGACGTCCGGGAGGGTCACACGGGGCGGGGAGGTGGCCCAGGACTCAAGCTTCTTCGGTTGTTAGCATCCGGCTCGTCACAGAGGCCATCGCAGGAAGGAGTGACTCTGTCTCCTTGTCCGGGGTTTCTTCATGCAGCGACCCCGGCCAGCGTCGAGGGAGACCAGACAGGGAAGAGCAGTCTGTCCCTGGGGCCGCTGTTCCAGGAAAGGCAGCGTAGCAAATTCTCTCAAAACTTAGTACGAAAGCCAAGCCACTCGTTGTCCTCATGGATTCCGGGGGTCAGAATTCAGACAGGACACTGGGGGACCGCTGGTCTCTGTTCCATGACTCTGGGGTCTCAGCTGGAAAACTCGAAGGCTGGAGGCTGGAAGCATCTGAGCACTTATGGTTGCGTTTCTGGGGGCCGATGCCAGTCGCCATGTGGGGCCTCACGCTGGGCTTTCTCACGGCCTGGTGGCTGGATCCCAGGAATGGGGGCGGGGAGGATTGGAGAAGCGACATTGCTTCTTTTTTTTTTTTAAATAAAGAATTACTTCAGCTTTATTTTTAAATGACAACCAAGCAGAAAAATGGGCAAAATCTATAAAACCGAGCCATTCATAGGAGACACAAATCATATACCATAGCTAATAAAAATATTTTTAATGATCAGTCTCATAAGGAATGAGAGATATGCAATAAGATGCCATTATTTTACCTATAAGATCCACAAAAATTAGAAAGATTGGTATCTGTTGGTAAGATGATGAAGAAAAAGATACTCTCCAACATGGTTGGTAGAATTTCAATATGACCTTGCCTTGGACTCACACGGCGTGACTCCCACCACCTCTCCCTGTTGAGGTGGTCACAGACCCCACGCGAGTTAAGGGAAGGGGAGCATTGAGCCTCTTGGTGTGTGAGTGCCAGAGCCCTGGAAGAGCAGACGGGCCCGGATTGTTGCTCTGGCCATCGTCAGATGGAGAAACAAGAGACGGCTCTGGCCCGAGCACTCCTTTAACTCGTAATGGAAGCCTGAGGGGCAGCGAGGGGCTAAGAGCACAGGTTCTGGAGCCCAAGTGCCAAGGTTCAGATCTTGGCTCTACCACTTGGTAGCTTAGCAGCTCCAGCCAGCTTCCGAACCGCCCCGTGCCTCAGTTTCCTCATCTGTACAATGGGCGTAATAATAGGGCTATCGCAGAGAGCTGTGGGAACGAAATAGATGGAACTGAATGAATCAGGTAGAGCGTTAGGAACACTGCCTCGCACGCTCATGATGCTATGAATAGCCATAGCAGAGGTAATAGCTGTCATCATCCCCAGCCATCTCACTCCTGGCCGAGCCCACTCCTGCCCTTTGCACAAACTCCCCCGGTGCCCGCCAGTTCCCGCTCTCCCAGGGGGTGCGGCCCCTCCCCTTTATCATGTGAGGCCTCTCAGTAAACGGCCCAGAAGAAGGGCTTTTACTGAGCAAGTCACATTGGTCTCACCTGAGGCAGTGACTCTATTTTCACATAAATAGAGGATGCTAATGTCTCCAAACATATATAGGTGCATTATTATACCTTTTCTTTTATGAAAGCTCTAGCCTTTTATTTGTTGTTGGAAAAAAAGCCTTTTTATCATCGACGATTTCAAACTTGTTCAGAAGGAGAGGGGATCGGGAATGGGATGGACGATCACCAGTTTCAAAGAATCGGGGTCAGTCTTGGTTCATCTATCCCCATGCCCAGTCACCCTGCCCTCTGGATGCCTTTAACAGCTTTATTGAGATACTAGAGGCCCGTTGCATGAAATTCGCTGGCCGAGAGGGAGAGGGAGAGGTCATTCCGGAAGGTCATTCTGGAAGGTCATTCTGCCATCCGGTCGAATTAGCATATTAGCTCTTTATTATATAGGATAGTTGATGTCTAATAAAACACACGGGTTTAAAGTGTGCAATTTGATACGTTTTGACCTATGTATGGGACTGTGAAACCACCCCCACAGTGAAGGTAATAAACACCCATCTCCCCCCATGCCCCTTATCTTCCCTCCCCCGCCCTGACCCCCACCACACCCCCCCCATGCTTCTTCATGCCCCTTATCTTCCCTCCCCCACCCCGACCCCCACCCACACCCAGCAGTCCGTCTGCTTCCTCACTATGGAATAGGCTGCACTTTCCAGCACTTTCTGTGAGCGGAAGCATGTAGGATACACTCCTTTCTTGTCTGCTTTCGCTCAGCGGCATTCAGAGCGGGCCAAAGGCCAGCTCGGTGGGGAAGTCAGGTGAATAATTGCTCCAGAGTGAATGCACCCCTAGCCTCCGGGGTCTCCTGCACCCGCTGCCCTTGCCACCCTCCATCCTCCCTTTCTCTGTGCCCCTCAGATGACCTCGTGGAGAAGACACCTTGCACGTGGAACTCCTCCCGCGTCTGTGAATGTCGACCTGGCATGATCTGTGTCACGTCAGCCACCAACTCCTGTGCCCGCTGCCTCGCCCGCCCTGTTGTCCCACCCCAGGTGGTCACCGCATGCCAGGGTAAGCCGCGCACCCCCGACCGGGGGCTGAGGTCGGTGCCCAGCAGCCGGCAGCCGTATCGCTCCCACCCCCACGGGGCAAAGGGCCTGCAACCCCAGCTGTGACCCAGGTCGGGTTCGGGCTTTGTTTTCTCTTTGAATAATTAGATCCCGTGAGTGGCATGAAATCCACATTTTGTCATTTTGGTCAGAATTTCTGATGATGATTAAAAAAAGAATTCTTCTCCCTGAAATTGTTGGGCTGGTAAAATCTTGACTTATTTGCAAGGCCATTTGATTGGCTCAAGTTAGACACGTGGAAAGAGGCCCCCCCCGTCAAGCCGGTGGACAGTGGCCAGGTGGCAGAAAAGTCGAAACTCTGACCGAAAAGAAATGAAAGCAGGCTCAGCAGCAGCGGAGAGGATCCCACACGCCCCTAGAAAGCAGAGAAGAGAGGAAAGGAGGGTGACAAGCGAAGCCCAGGGGAGGGAAGCTCACCCCAGAATTCACTCCTGAGGGCCAGGGGGACGGCGAGAGGTGACTTGCTCATCAGACCCCCCAGAGAAGCCCTGGGCTCAGAGCAGGCAAACACATTGAATGACGGGAGTGAAATGGAGAATTGCTAAGTGTAACTCCATCTTTAAAATAAAGTTAAAAAAACTCTATACCAGTGGTAACCATGGACACGGAGCAGTCTGAGCAGGTGGTGCCTGGGCTTTTGTCTCCTGGTGAAAATGATCAATTTTTTGGCTAAAGACCCTGAAGGGGTCTCTATGGGAAGCCAGGGCTCGCCGCGCGGGGCTGCCGCGCTGGTGTGACGCCCTCGCCGTGTGTTTGGGAGCACGCCCTGCGCAGAGTGCTGCTGCCCTGTCACCGAGGGGAGGACGCCAGCCCACAGGCCCCACCCGCAGGCCGGGGTGCCAGGCAGACCTCCTGCTCTGGGAAGAGACCCGTTGGGGAAAGGACACACTGACACCGCGGCACGAGGAACCCCACCAGCTCCTGGAATGTTCAGTGGTCCTTTGTAAGTAACATGAGCGAGCAGTAAAGATGTCCAGGCTTCAGGGAAAATCAGAAAATAACAAGACACACGGACAGGAAAACTTCCTACAGCTGAAGCAACGATGAACCTAGGAATAGCCGAGAACTTAAAAGATTCAAACGGCCCTGGCAAGTTTGGCTCAGTGGATAGAGCGTCGGCCTGCGGACGGAAGGGTCCCGGGTTTGATTCTGGGCAAAGGCACATGCCCGGGGTTGCGGGCTTGATCCCCAGTGTGGGGCTTGCAGGAAGCAGCCGATCAATGGTTCTCTCTCATCATTGATGTTTCTATCTCTCTCCTTCTACCTTCCTCTCTGAAATAAATAAAAAATATTTAAAAAATATTTAAACGTGTCCACAGAAAAATTCAGGAAGTTGTTACGTCCACACAGTGAGAGCAGAATGCTATGAAAAAGGAACAGTGAAAGAACAGAGGGCAAGCGGTGGCTTCTAGAAGGTGTGCTTGTTATCAACTGATTGTTTCTCAGCTCCCAGTTCACCTTCAGGACCCACTCTGCTGAAGGATTGGACTCTGACTCTTGAAGCATTTCTCCTTGTGAGCATGAAGTTAAGCTTTGCCAGTAGAGGGCGCTGGTTCTTTATCCATTTATGTATGAACTAGAGGCCTGGTGCATGAAATTCATGCACGGGGTGGGGGTTTCCTCAGCCCAGCCTGTACCCTCTCCAATCCGGGATCCCTCTCACAATCCAGGACTGCTGGCTCCTAACTGCTCACCTGCCTGCCTGCCTGATCACCCCTAGTCTCGTCTGCCTGCCAGCCCGATTGCCCCTAACTGCCCCCCCTGCTGGCCTGGTCGCCCCCAACTGCTCCCCCTGCCAGCCTGGTCACCCTCAGCTGCCCCCCACTGGCCTGGTCACCCCTTACTGTCCTCCCTGTCAGCCTGATTGCCCCTAACTGCCCCCCCCCCCCCCCGCTGGCCTGGTTGCCCCCAACTGCCCTCCTCTGCTGGCCTGGTTGCCCCTAACTGCCCCCCCACCAGCCTGGTCACCCCTAACTGCCTCTTCCTACTGGCCTTATTGCCCCTAACTGCCTCCCCTGTTGGCCTGGTTGCTCCCAACCCCCCCCCCCTCCCCGCGCTGGCCTGGTCACCCCCAACTGCCCCCCTTGCTGCCCTTGTCACCCCCACGCAGCCTGCTGTTTAGTTGTTTGGTCATCCCTCGCTAACCCCCTTGCTGGCCTTGTCACCCCACGTAGCCTGCTGTATGGTCGTTACTGTTACTGTGATGGTATCCTGGACAATTTGCATATTCCTCTATTATTAGTATAGATGGACTCAGGTTGCTTCCATGGCTTGGCTACTGTAAATACTGCTGCAATGAACATAGGGGTGCATATGTGTTTTCGAATTAGTGTTTTGGGGTTCTTTGGGTCAACACCCAGAAGTGGTGTTGCTGGATCATACGGTAGTTCTGTTTTTATTTTTTGGAAGCACCTCCATATGGTTTTCCATAGTGTCTGCACCAATTTATAATCCCACCAGCAGTGCCTAAGAGTTCCCTTTTCTCTGCTTCTTCATCAACACTTGTTGTTTGTTGATTTATTGATGATAGCCATCTGATAGGTGTGAGGTGGTATCTCACTGTTATTTAATTTGCATTTCCCTGATTAATGATGTTGAGAGTCTTTTCATATGTCTGTTGGCCATCTGTATGTCCTCTTTGGAGAAATGTCTATTCAGGTCCTCTGTCCATTTTTTCATCGGGTTGTTTGTCTTTTAGGTGTTAAGGTATATGAGTTCCTTATATATTTTGGATATTAACCCCTTGTTAGATGTATCATTGGTGAATGTCTTCTCCCATTCAGTAGGTTGGGTTTTGTTGTTGGTGATGGTTTCCTTCTCTGCACAAAGGCTTTTTATTCTGATGCAGTCCTATTTGTTTATTTTTTCTTTTGTTTTCATTACCTAAGGAGACATATCTAAAAAATATGACTTCCCAGCTAATGCAGAGTCATGTGGAGAAGGGTCTTGATGTGGGGCAGGGTGGGGAGTTGGACCTACACTGATCCCATCACTAATTAAAATCATTGCTTTGGCCCAGCTGGTGTGGCTCAGTGGTGGAGCATCAACCAATGGACCAGGAGGTCACGGTTCGATTCCTGGTCAGGGCACATGCCTGGGTGGCAGGCTCCATCCCCAGTGTGAGGCATGCAGGAGGCAGCTAATCAATAATTCTCACCATTAATGTTTCTATCTCTCTCCCTTTCCCTTCCTCTCTGAAATCAATAAAACCTATTTAAAAAAATCATTGCTTTGGGGAGAAAGACTTTATTTTTACTTATCTTTTTCTTTATTTTTATTGTTGACACTATTACAGATGTCTCCATTTAAGACTTGATTTTTAAAAACAGCTTTATTGAGATATAATTCCTATGCCATAAAATCTATTCACTTTACGTGTACAATTCTATGATTTTTAAGAAACTTACAGCCCCGTCGGCATGACTCAGTGGTTGAGCGTTGACTATGAACCAGGAGGTCGATTCTCAGTCGGGGCACATGCCAGGGTTATGGGCTTGATCCCCAGTGTGAGGCGTGCAGGAGGCGGCTGATCATTGGTTCTCTCTCATTATTGATGTTTCTATCTCTCTCTCCCTCTCCCTTCCTCTCTGAAATAAATAAAAAAATATTTTTTTAAAAAGAAACTTACAAAGTTATGAAACTATTACCACTTAAAAAATCTAGGAACTATAAACAGAGGCACTTTAAAGTGATGTCAGCGCCGTGCCTTATGCCTCAAACCTTCGGAATGTTAGAACTGGGCAAAGGAGCCTTTGGACTGGGCCTAAGCAACCTCGTGTTCCGAAGAACTGTTTGCAGAGATAACAAGAAGGCAGATCTGAGGAATACCGGGCGGATGACTACAGGGCCGAAAAGGAAAACCATCCTTTAGGACTGACAGCACAGAGCTGTTTTATCTGCACCTATAGCAATGCCTCCCTTCGTTGATGTGATTGATATTCTATTGACGTAATATTCCTTCTGCTGATGTGACCCCCCCTGCCCTTTCTCGTAACCACCCCCGCCTTTGCTTCCTAATCAGAACACCATTTGGGTTTCTGTCTGAATCAGGGCTTCCCAGATAACGATTTTTTTTTTTTTTTTTTTACCTCAAATAAACCCTTGTTGCCTCTCACTTTGGCCTTTTACTTTCAGGTTAACACCATGATCTAAGAAACCCCGTGCCCATTAATAGCCACCCCACCCCTCCCTCCATCCCCAGCTCGGAGACCCACTAATCTACTTCCTGTCCCTCTAGGTTAGACCCTTAGAGACATTTTCAGAATGTGTTCGTCTGTGTCAGCTGCTTTCACTGGACATGACACACGTGGGGTTCGTCCATGCTATCGCATGTGTTAATACTTTGTTCCTTCTATTTTTATTTTTGTTAATCCTCACCTGAGGATATTTCTCCATTGATTTTTAGAGAGAGTGGAAGGGAGGGAGGAAGGGAGATAGAGAAACATTGGTGTGAGAGAGACACATTGATTGGTTGCCTCCCACACATGCCTCAAACCGGGGCTGGGGATCAAACTTGCAACCCAAGTATGTATGTGCCCTTGACCAGGAAATGAACCTGGATGGGTGGGCCAACACTCTAACCACTGAGCACACCGGCCAGGGCCCTTCGTTCCTTTTATTGCCAAACAAGACTCCAGTGAACGGGTAGACTACATTTTGTTGACCCATTTACCAGTTGAGGGACATCTAAGCTGTTCCCACTTCTTTGACTGCTGTGAGGAATGCTCTGTGAACAAGGGTGTGCGCAAGACCTGACTGTATTGCTGTGGGCACCCCAGCCTCTCCGGCCTCCCCCCAGCCTCTCCGGCGTGCCCTCCTCTCTCCCACCCTGGGCCTCCCACCTTCTGTGCCCTCTGCCGATACCCCCACGCGGACTCACATCCCAGCAACCCCCTCCTTGGGGAAGCCTCCCCGTTCAGGAGGGGTTGAGTCCCTTGCTTTAGGTGTCATGCTCTGTGTGACACCTGAATCACACTCACAGCCCGTGAGTCCCCGAGGGTGGGATCTTGTGTATTTTACTCATTGCTCTATCCCAGCTCCCAGCACAGTCCCTGGTGCCACATCCAGCACGGCCAGGGTTCAGGATCTGGAGAAGGGGCTGACGCACACATGAAAACACCAGACAAGAGATATGAATGTAGAAACCATGGGGGAGCCAGGTGGAAACTGCCCTCTAGAGCAGCGGTTCTCCACCTGTGGGTCGTGACCCCTTTGGGGGTCGAACGACCCTTTCACAGGGGTCACCTAAGACCATCAGAAAACATATACAATTACATATTGTTTTGTGATTAATCACTATGCGTTAATTATGTTCAATTTGTAACAATGAAATTGGGGGTCACCACAACATGAGGAACTGTATTAAAGGGTCGCGGCATTAGGAAGGTGGAGAACCACTGCTCTAGAGGAAAAGCTCCCTGGAGCCCTGGACCTGTTAGGTTTTATTCAATTTTAGATACACATCTTGCCCTCAGGCACAGCAATCTGGTAGCAGACAGACTATCGCAAAGGTCAGTAAATATTAGTAAAGATTTACTTAAAGGCTATTAGGTCAGGAAATTGCTTCAAGCCACCACTGTCTCGACAGAACAATCAGTGCATAGCTTTAGCCCTTGCTAAAACTCAAGGTTCATCAGCTTTCTGAGTTCCTTGTTGCGCTTTCGTGATAGTGTTTGACAATGGATAGCTTCCCGCACCCCGAGTCATAGTAGGTGCTCAATAAAGAACTGTTGCATGGAAGGAAAGAAGGAGGGTGGGGTGGGTCGGTGAAGGGAGGAGGCAGAGCCAGGACACAAACCTGCCCAACTGCAATGTCCTTGAGGCCTTGCCGTGCGGTCTCCTGGAGGCCACCAGTGCCTGCTGGGTAAGCTCCTGGCACCGACTCTGACGACCACTCTTTGCAGGCAAAGCTGAGAGGAACACCACCTACGAGCCGCCTCACCTGGGGACCCACCTTAACCGCAGCACCAACCCAGAGGACAGCGAGGTGCCGGGCAGGTGACTCTGTGGCTCCTTCTGGGGAACTGGACTGGAAGGAGGGGGTGGGGTCCAGGCTGGAGCTCTGTGCCAAGCCCCAAAGCCACTTTGGAGAACGTGTGCCCAGCTCTGTGCTGGCACCAAGCCAGAATGCCTGGAAGTGCAGCCCCCGCCTGGGGATGGTATCTGGGGAAAGGGAAGCATTCCTGAGCAAGCCCCCTCTTCTGGCTGCGTCCTTGGCCTCACCTCTGGCTTCTCTGCCCGCAGCACCAGCGCCTCCCAGATCTCCCTGGCCGGAAAGGGGCATGGAGGAGGCGCCACCCATGCCCGGGAGGACGCCTCCCTCTCAACAAGTGCTCCCGTCTCTTTCTCCTCCGCGGGGAGACCCATCCTGGTTTCAGGTAATGATCACCCCCAGGAGACAGGGCCTTCCTCCCAGGCGGGCGGAAGGAGGGGGCTTCTACCCGGTCTACAGTTATCCACTGGGTAGGGGGCCCAAGGTGGACCCTAGGTTTCCAGCTTCCTGGGCTGCTGGTCTGCCACTTGCTACCCATTAATTCTTGCGGGTCAGGATTTCATTCACAGCTTCCTCCCCGTGGCCCATAATTGCTACTCAGGAAGTATTTGGTGAAGGATTTTATGACCTGGGCTAGTTGCTTAATGCCCTTGAGCCCCCGTTTTCTCCCGTGTAGAGCTGGAATAGCACGCACCATGCAGGGGAGTATGTAGCTACCCGGTCCGGACCTTCCCTTGCAGACATTTGCTCTAAGTGCAATGCGTTCTAGGACTTGCAGTTCCAGCATTGCACACCAGGCGGCGGCGGTTCTCAGGCCAGCGGTTCTCAGCGTGGTCCCTGAACTCACAGCATCAGCAACTTGCTAGAAAAACAAAGGATGGCCCCACCCAACCCTACAGAATCCGAATCCGCTTTTTACCACGGTCCCCAGAGATTCCTCTGCACGTTAAAGTTTGAGAAGCGTTTATTGGCACAAACCACTTTTTTTTAGCATCTAAACATGCACGAAAAGCAGTAACTAGTTACACGATCTTCGTAAGCAACAAAAGAAGAAAGGAGGCAAGTTAAGTGTAAAGAGATGCACCCAGATAGCGGTTCAGCGCGTGGGCACTGGAATCCCCCTGGCCTGGCTGGAGCCGAGATTCTGCCATTTACCCTCAGGGTGACCTTGACATCACCTTTGAGAGCCTCAGTTTCCCTTGTTTGGAATGGCACCTGCGGCGTAGGGCTGAGTGCGCTTCATGGAGCTTCGAGTCCAGAGGGGACGCCCGTCACACGCCTCCTCTGCAGGCCCCGCGCTTTGTTCTTTCGTTCTGCCTTCTGGCCCCCTGGCTCCTCCATTGCCCACCCTCTAGAAATGGTTTGCTCTTTTCCCCACGATGAATCCCCCCTGATGGGCTTCCTGGAGCAGGTGAGGGCGGGCAGGTGGGTGAGGGCTGGACCAGGCACCGTGTCTGGTTTCAGTCCTGGCAGCACCGTGGAGACAGCAGGGCTGTCCTGTGTGGGGCAGCAGGGCCCCTGGCTCAGCCTGGGAAGTGGACTCTGGGGCGGAGAATGCAGGCCCACCTCTGTGTTGCAGGCCCCGTGCTCCTCTGCCTGCTGGCGCTGCTGGCGGTGGTGGTCTGCGCCGGCTCCCTCCTCCTGTGCCACCGCAGGGCCTGCTGGAAGTGGATGCAGCAGAGTGAGTGACGTGTCCACGGGGCCTGGGGAGGCGGGTGCTCTGTGCTAGCCGGGCCCCTGCCCTGCCCGCCGAGGCTCTCGGACGCTGGCATCTCCAGTCCCCTCCTGATGTCATTCCAGAGCTCCACCTGTGCTACCCGGTCCAGACCTTCCGGCCCAAGCCCGAGGCTGCGGGTAAGTGGTCAGGGGTCGGGAGGGGCTGCTGGAGCCGCAGGGACACACATCAGGCTGGGCCCTGGGCGTGGGGGTCCCTCTTGATGGCTTCCCACAAGCGGCTCCTCTTCTATGACCTCATCTGCAAAGGGAATACAATGTGGCGGAAACTGTGCCATGTCCTGTGCGCTGTGTGAACGGCGGGCTGGCAGGGAGCTTTCTTTGTGTGCGGCTAAGGCTTTCTTTCTTTTTTTAATATATATTTTATTGATTTCAGAGAGGAAGGGAGAGGGAGAGAGAGACACACACACATCAGTGATGAGAGAGACTCATTGATCAGCTGCCTCCTGCACGCCCCACACTGGGGATCGAGCCTGCAACCTGGGCATGTGCCCTGACTGGGAATGGAACCGTGACCTCCTGATTCATAGGTCAATGCTCAACCACTGAGCCACACCAGTCGGCCCGCTAAGCCTTTCATTCCTTTCTGCATGGTGCCCCCAGGAGAGGCATTCCTGAATGCCCTCCCTCCTCTCTTTTTTCCCAGCCTCCCTATTCTTTCCGCTCTCTCATTCCACCCCGCCTTCCGCTCCTCCGGCACGAGGGCCATAGGGGTCAGCAGGGCAGGCTGATAGGGCTGGAGTCCTGTTTCCGCCACTTACAAGCTACACTTCGGGAGGTTACTTAATTCGTCTGTGTCTCAGTTCCCTCATCCCTCCGATGGGGACAGCGGGACCTAGTCCGAGGGTGGGCGTGCGGGTGGATGGAGCTGGGCCTGTGCAGAGCGCCTGCGGGCATCGTGCGCAGTGAACAGCGGCTGCAGTCTGCTGACCTGCCTGTGCCCGGGCCTTGTTCCTCACCAGGAATCCCAGGCCTTCCTCACTGCTAGGTTGTTCTGAACCCTTCCCTGGTCCTTGTCTCTGATCCCTGCCCAGCCTCCAGGCCAACTCCTCCAGGCAGCCTTCCGGAGCCCCGGTCCTCCCCACCCACCCAGGCAGCAGGCTCTTCCAGCGCCCACCTGGTGGGGGTCTTGTGCCCAGGGCCCCTCTCCTGGGCAGCCCTTACGGGGCAGGGCAAAGGTCTTCTGCACACTCCATGCTGGGCCCTGGCCACAGAGGAAGCAGTGAACATGAGTGGTCTGAGCGCCCCTTCTGGTTGCAGGGCAGGCTCCCTCCCTATTTAGTCTCCCAGGAGCCCCAGGGGAGATGGGTGATGACCCTTAAGGAGGCGGATACCTGGCCCAGGGCCACACCTCCTCGTAAGTGCCCCTCGGGCTCCGGCTCCAGCACTGGTCCTTGAGGTTGCTGCTCTGAGTGTAGAGGCCTGGTGCTGGTGCCGTCCCCTCTGCCTTCCGCCCCCCAAGCCTTGTCCAGCCCCTGCCCACCCAGAGCCCAGTGGTCGGCCCCAGGCCAAGTCATGGCCCCCGTGCCCCTTCCCCCCAGGCCCCTTGGAGAGCCTTGCTATAGCCCCGCTTTTGACTTGGGCTTGAAAAACAGTCCACCGAGGTTGTTTTGAATTTGATGAGTTTCACAAGCAGGTGCTAGTGTTCCCTCCGCAGGGGTTTTTCGTGTTTTGATAGTTTCAAGCCTTTTTCCATGAGCTGTCAGGCTCAGTATCTCATTGAAACCCGGGTTTGCTTTCTTGACATTTTTCTAGTATTAGAATTTCCATTGCCGTCAGTTTATTTTTTTCTTCGATCCTTTGTGATAGCAGTTTTGTCACACACAGAGAAAGAGAGAGAGAAAAGCACCTTCCCTTAAGAAGCCAGACCTACAAGGAACCCCGAGCCCTGAGACTCAGGGGTGGCTGGGTCTGGCCCTCTGGCTTCGGTGGGTGCCTGGGGGTCCCCAGGCTGAGAGTGAAGGGAGGGGAGGCCCCGGTCAGCACGCAGGGCACAGGATGAGCCCAGACTGAGCCGGCGGCGATGCCCGTTCCGTGTGGAGGGAGCTGCGGTGTGCAGCAGTGGAGGAACGTTCATGTGTTTCTTCGCTCACTCATATACTCCAATCGTGTCACTGTGGGATTCCGAGTGGCCCTGTCCTGGGAATGAAGGTGGCTGTGTCGCTCTCCTGGGCTTTGAGACCTGTGTCAGTTGCTCAAAGGGGCGGAAGGCTAGCAGGAAGGGAGTGTGCGCCCCGCCCGCCCCCTCCGGGAACAGCAGGGCTGGGGGGGCCTGGGGCCTGACGGAGATCCGGGCAGGTGCCCATTCGATGCTCCCCCATCAGCTCTGCTCTTGAATTGATTTGACTTTGTGCCGTGTGTCCTTGGTGGCAGGCATTTGCAAAGCACATACATGATCTCATTTGACCCCTCTCAGCATCCTTGTGAGGCAGCCACGGCTGATGCCTCCATTTCACAGAGGAGGGACAGAGGCACAGGAAGGAGGGGACTTGTGTAAGGCCACGTGGTTAAAAGCAGTCTGACCGGGATCTCGCTGTTACTGTTGGTGGCGAGGCTTTTGTAAAAAGGGTCTCACCCCCTCATCGATTGACATTTGGGACCGGGCTGTCCGGTGCATTGGAGGGTGCTGGCCAGTTCCTTGGTCTCCAGACCCACCAGGGACCTGCAGCACCTCCCAGTGTGGCCACCAACGTGTCACCAGACACTGCCAGGTGGCCCCTGGCGGGAGGTCACGCCTGGTCGGGAAACACCGTTAAAATTCTTTTCCTCCTTCATTTTGACGGACACGGAAGTCATGACTTTCTCAGTTCACTCAGGCAGGTTTGCTTTGGAAAAAATGGTGTGTCGTCGTTTGGAAATAATTTCGAACTCGCAGGAAAGTCACAAGTACAGTACCAAGAACTCCTTTTCCCTGGACCATCTAAGTCACCCACTTAAGGCCCGTCATCTCTGACACGGGTGTGTGTGTGTGTGTGTGTGTGTGTTTCAGACGAATAAGGCATGTTTTTACACAACCGGAGTAAAGCCATCTAAACTAGAGGATGTGCCTTGACGCGTTAGCGCCAATGAGTTCTCAGACCCCGTTCAGGTTTCCCCACTCCCCCCAGCAAGGCCCCCTGTAGCAAAAGCGTTCCGTTCAGAGTCTCCTGCTGCATTTGGTGCCGTGTCTCGGTGATTCTGGTCGGCGCCTGTCGTGCCCTTCACCTTCCTGACCTGGCCACTTGGGAGGGTTCCACCCGTGGTTTTGTAGGTGACCCTGACCTCGGCTTTGCCTGGTGTTTCCTTGCGACTGGATCCAGGTGGTGCACCATTGGTGGGAAGAGCCCCGTCATGACGCTGAGCGCCTCTTGGCAGCCTCCGTCCTCCCGGGTTCCTCTGGTCCCGTGGCCGGTGGGGGTCACACTGAGCCCTTGATCAAAGGACCAGGGTGGTGTCTGCCAGGCTTCCCCTCCGGAGGCTGCTCTTCTCTCCGTGGTCATGGCTCCGCCTTTGAGGGGCGCTACTTGGAGGCTGTGAATAGCCTGCTCCTCTGTCAGACTTTCCCTTCTCTTCACTCGTGTGGTTCTATCCGACGTGTGCGTGCTGAGTTTATTCTGCTGCCATTGGCATTTAGTTTGAGGTTCAAATTGTCCCCGGTTGGGCCAAGGGGGGCCACTTCCAGCTGGCTCCTGTGCCCTTTTGTTCCCATCCTTGTGTTGGGAGCCCTTCTTTTTCTTTTTAATATGTTTTATTGATTAGAGAGGAAGCGGGAGGGAGAGAGATAGAAACATCAATGATGAGAGGGAATCATTGATCGGCTGCCTCCTGCACGCCCCCTACTGGGAACTGAGCCTGCAACCCAGGCATGTGCCCTTGGCCGGAATCGAACCTGGGACCCCCTCAGTCCGCAGGCCAACGCTCTATCCACTGAGCCAAACCGGCCAGGGCAGGAGCCCTTCTTAAAGGTTTTCCCAGCTTAGCTTGTACTTTCCTGCCCTGCCCTGGAGTCCGCCAGCTCTCCAGGGAGCTCAGGGTTGGAGTCGGGGAGCCGGTGCCAGAGCCTGGCTGAACCTCTGGGCCAAATCCTTTCCTTGGAGCTGTTCTGCTTCCCACAGCAGCTGGGACCTCAGGCCGGAGAGGGGATGGGACCGAAAGGGAGAGTAAGGAGGACGGAAGGGACGATGCCTTGGGAGTCAGAACGCAGTGCTCAGCGAGGTGGCCGCAGGGCAGCCCCAGGACACCAGGCACCATCGCAGCAGGGCCACCGATGACCAGTGTCCCTGGACTCACATCCTGGGGTGCCGGATGCAGTTATGGGAAGATCATAGTTATTCCAAAAGGAGTGAAACCAATTGACGAAGGCAGCGGACTGAAGCAACATTTTTAGGGGAAAAGCTCTTACGAAATCCGACCTCTGTGCTTGGCACAGTTTGTTCGGAGTCTTTATCAAAGTGCACATGTGGGCTGTAACGCGGCGGGAGGCGGATGTTGGCACCTGCTGGATTGTGCCTTTTGTGTTTCCTCTCGAGACTCAGTGTCAAGTGCTGACTTTCTCTCTGTGGTGATAGAGCGCCAGCGTCCTGGGGCCCGCCGGGTGCCAGGCAGCGTCCTGGGCGCCTCCCCTTTTGAATGCCAACACATTTTAAAAAATATATTTTCTTGATTTTTTACAGAGAGGAAGGGAGAGGGATAGAGAGTTAGAAACATCAATGAGAGAGAAACATCGATCAGCTGCTTCCTGCACATCCCCTACTGGGGATGTGCCCGCAACCAGGGTACATGCCCTTGACCGGAATCGAACCTGGGACCCTTCAGTCCGCAGTTCGACGCTCTATCCAGTGAGCCAAACCTGCCAGGGCTGAATGCCAACATATTTTAAGTAGATGTTATTTTTAAGAGGAGATTTACAGAAAGTCTGAGACAATAATAGCGAGTCCCCATGTACCCCCACCCAGTTTCCTGTTATTAACATCTGACATTAGAAGGATTCATTCGTTATAGTGAATAAGCAACATCGAAACAGGGCTGTTCAGTAAAGCCCATCCTCTATTCACATCACCTTAGTTTTTTAACATTTATTTTTTTAAATGTATTTTTGTTGATTTCAGAGAGGGAGGGAGAGGGAGATAGAAGCATCAATGATGAGAGAGAATCATTGATCAGTTGCCTCCTGCATGCCCCCCACTGGAGATTGTGCCCAAAACCCAGGCATGTGCCTTGACCGGGAATTGAACCATGACCTCTTGGTTCATAGGTCGATGCTCAACCACTGAGCCACGCCAGCCGGGCAGATCCAGGAGCCCACCCAGGACACCATGTGACGCTAAGTCATCAGGTCTCCTTAGGCTCCTCCGGGCTGTGATGTTTCTGACCTCTGTTGTTTCCGATGACCTTGGCCAGGGGTGGGCAAACTTTTTGACTCGAGGGCCACAATGGGTTCTTAAACTGGACCGGAGGGCCGGAACAAAAGCATGGATGGAGTGTTTGTGTGAACTAATATAAATTCAAAGTAAACATCATTACATAAAAGGGTACGGTCTTTTTTTTTTTAGTTTTATTCATTTCAAACGGGCCGGATCCGGCCCGCGGGCCGTAGTTTGCCCACGGCTGACCTTGGCAGTGTTGAGGAGGACCACTCCGTTATGTTGTAGGAGGCCCTTCTATTGGAACCTGCCAAGTGTTTCTGTCCTGATTTGATTGGGGTTATAGGCTTAGGGTAGGGGACGGACTGGGGGCAGGGTCATTTAATGACATCAGATCAAGGGGGCATACTCTCAGGGTGATCGGTCACGGGCCCCTTCACTTTCGAGATCTCCTTTAATCTTCACAAAAACCCTCCAACGTTGGCGCGACCCATCCCCGTTTTGCAGCTAAGATGACTGAGGCCGGGCGAGGTGGCGTTGTGTGCTGGGTCTCACTGCCAGGAGGCCTCCTCTCCAGGATCGTGGCATCTGGCCCGCTCCCAGCAGTCGGTTCTTACAAATACCAGGCTGTGCACAGCCTTGTTATCTTTCCAGTTATTTCCTGAGGGTGTGCCCCCGAAGAGGGGTTACTGGGGCAAAGGATGTGAGACTTTCATGGCCAGCTGGCTCTCAAGAAACATTCACAGGAAACATTCATAGGACGTGTTTACCGACGTCCCCTCCAAGACTGAGTTTTATCATTTTTATTTATTTTGTCTTGTTCCTGTGTCACCCCTCCCTCCCCCCAGTGACTTGGCACCAAGCAAAGTTGGCAAAACACAGAATCACTCTCCAAGGAGAGAGGTTCAGTGTCACTGACATCATTTAAAAGAATGTGCTTCTGGCCAGAGAGGGCGCCAAGTGCTGGCTCGGGCAGTGGACAGTGGCCGCCGGTGGCAGTGAGCCGGCCTCCCCATGGGACTACTCTCCTGGGAGCAGCAGTTGTCAGAGGCAGTTAGTGCGACACGTTTGTTACATCCAGGACCGAGGACTGGGTCCCTGTGCACATGTGCTGCTTTTCATGGCTGTTCTGGTCTGTCTCCCCGTTGGGCACTTTCTGCCTGTTGATGGGCATCGCGTGGCCACACGGCTCAGCCGGCCCCTCTCACTTGTTACCGTGGTTGCTGGGCCTTCCGTGAGTTTCCAGCTGGGATTCGGGGCTGGTGGTTCCTCGGAGCTGCTGGAATCAGGGAGAATGTTCTGGAGGTGACTCAGCTGATTTCTCCGGTGAGGTGTGCACACCTGACAGCAACGGATCCCGAGTCTCCACAGGCAGCCTCCTGGACTCTGAAAAGGCTGTGCATCCCTGAAGCGTGGTCTGAGCCGGGGAGCCGGTTTGCTCTAGGACAGACCAGGTGCCTGGCCATGGCTTACACTTGGCTGTGACCCGGCATCCGACTCAGTATGAGAAAACAGTTGGAAGTGGAGGATAGGGCGTGGGAGGAGAGGATAAAGGTCGTGCCCTAAGAGTCATGGCGTCAGCACCTCCTGAGCCCACCGAGGGTGTGGCTGCAGGAGGGGGAGGACTGGGGAGCAGCTGTCCTCCTCGAAGGCGGTCACATGGGCTTTTAAAAGCAGAGATCACAGAAAATCACACTCAGAGGGCCCGAGCCCAAAGCGCTCCAGGATCATCTGGCTTCGGGCTTGCCTGCACACGACTCAGGAGCATCCTCAGGGCCGCCAGCCCCTCTGTCGCCTGCCTTGAGGTCCTCCGTGCGCCTCACACAGGGACTGGGGAGCTCTGGGCTCTTTCGGCCCCGCGTGCTACAAGGTGGTGGCAGTTTCTGAGTCAGAGGGAGCCTCCTTGGCTCTAGCCGAGCACATGCTTCCCCTGAACTGTGTGTGTGTGTGTGTGTGTGTGTGTGTGTGTGTGTGTGGAGGGGTGAAGGGTGGGGGGCAGGTGGACTGGGGAGGGGCAGGTGGACTGGGGAGGGGTCCAGGGGCCTGAGGGCCAGAGGAGAGATAAGTCCCCTGCTCTCTGACAGCCCCGGAGAAGTGAGCACTGGGCAGTGAGCCCCTGTGGCCGGGCCTGGGAGTAGGCACGGACCCTGAAACCTGCCCTCTGCTCTCCAGACAGAGGGCCCAATGGGGCATCAGCTCCCACGGGGGAGCCAGGGGAGGCCTTTGTCCACGTGTGGGGCGGGCAGGGCCCAGGGCTGCCTGGCCTTCCTTGGTGAACTTGTCCCTTTTTTCTTTGCAGATTCCAGGCCCCCGAGGAACCAGACAGTAAGTAGCTGCCCCGTGTCCCAGCTGGGTGCCCCTAAGTCTGACTCCTCCGCAGACCTGCTGCTGCTGAGGGCCACCTGGTCCCCTGCCAGCCCCTGCTGGGTCTGGGGGGGGGGGGCAGGGGCAGGGAGCTCTGAGCCACGCCCTGGCCCAGGATGCTGTCCCTCCCCCCACCCTTAGCGGCCTGGCTCCTGGCTCCTCTCGCCGGGGACTTCCAGAAAGGCCCGCCAGACCGCGGGCTTGGTTTTGGCTGCTTTGGGTGCCAGGTGTGGTCAGGTCACGAGGAATTCCGCCTGGATCTGCTTCCCCATTTTCTCCTTCACTCCTCCCGAGTCCTGTCCTCGCACTGGGCTGACAGATCAGTAGCAAGAATTTTAAACACGTGGCTGTCCCATACCGAGCATTTACCTAGAGCAGGCACCTCGCTCTGTGCGCCCTCCACGTCATCTCAGGGGGTCATCTCAGGGGGTCCTCACGGCACGCGGAGGTGCCGCTTATAAAAGGGGACACTGAGGCCCAGCAGGGAAGGTGGGTCCGCAGCGGGGAGCAGACCTACTAGGGTTTGAGCCCCTGTTTGTGACTCCAGCGCCAGTGCTCTGAGCCGCTGCCCTGAGCTGCCTCCTCGGAGACCAGCCTCATCCGCCCCTTTGGGGGGGCTCGCTGTGCGCAGGCGCGGGCGAGGGCCGGTGCAGATGTTACTGCTGATCACAGGACCACCCAGCACGGGCCCATCCACCTGGTCCTCACGGGGCTGGTCCTTGCGTCCTGCTCTGTGCCCAGCCCCCGCCTCCTCCCCATAGGCAGCTCCCACGGTGGGAGCTGGGGCAATGCCCCCCGGAGCTGAGGGAGGGGCAGGACCAAGCTCTCCCTATGGCCGGGTCTCAGGCCTGTATGGTTCACCCACTTTTCCCCCTCACTTAGCAAATCTTTCATTACTTTCTTTTAACTCAAACATTGCTCCGTGGAAGATCTGCAGTCTCCATGTAACACTAGCTAAATGGCGCAGCTTTCACACGTGTATAGGGCTCTCCCCACCCTTTTCAGCAGCCATGAGCTACTGAGCTTTGTGAACTGCCTTTGAAATATTACAACACTGTTTTGTTGCACCAATTTTATAGACTTGTGCAATACATGTTATTTTTCAGAGACGAACCAAAGGTTAATTTCTCAGGGTTCTTGCTGCCTACTTTAGTGGCATTTGATGGAGGATCTTTTACATACACTTGTAATAGTTGAAAAATAAACCAGATTGAAGATTCTTTTTTTTTTCCCCCCCTGGTGGGCTACCCTCCTATTACTAGGAGGGTAGTAGGACTGAGAGTTTGGCAAGGCTTTAGGGTTAATCCCCCCCCCCCTTTTTTTAATGCTTAAACCATGTACCAAGTTTTTGGTCCAAATCATGTAGAATAAGTTAAACTTAAATTGCCTTCTATTAACAATGTGAGTGTATTTCTCTAAGCATAGTTAGGTTGAAATAAAGTCTTAAAAAGCAAAACAAAAAAATAACAACCCACAATAAAACCCATTTATACATACATGGAGAAAGGTCTCCACCTTTTAGCTTTTTAAAATATATTTTTATTGATTTCAGAGAGAGAAAGGGAGAGGGAGAGAGAGAGAGAGAGAAATATCAATAATGAGAGAGAATCATTGATCGGCTGCTTCCTGCACACTCCCTACTGGGGATCGAGCCCACAACCCAGGCATGTGCCCTGACCGGGAATTGAACTGTGATCTCCTGGTTCATAGGTTGACTCTCAACCACTGAGCCACACCAGCTGGGCTCCATCCTTTACTTTTTAAACATAAGAGTCAGAACCACAATATGAGTTCAATTTAAAATTATGAGAGATCACATTCAAATACACTTGGGTCAGAGAAGTTGCTGTTATAACACCGAGACATTTATGGAAAAGATATTCAGTGATTTGTAAGAGAATCAAATATCTTTTAGCTACTTGAGCTAACACCTTGAGTAAATTGTTTAAAAATGCTGTCTTTTGGATTTCAAATTGTTATAAAAGAATTTTAAGGATTATGTAGCTATACTTTCTGAATTACTCAAACTCATTCCACTCCGAAGGCAGCAGGTAAATGCTATGGACTAGAACATTCCATGAGACCGCTTTTCCTTTGCACTTACCTATCAAAGTCAAAAACTAGCCAACACTTTCCTGAAGATGTAGCACTTTTTAGAATACATTAGTGTAGTCATAACTGACTACTGTCCCAGGAGGTCAGGGCTGGGCAGTAAGGGAGGCCTGGGGCCAACATGTATAGACCAGCCTTTACACGCGTGGATCCCGGAGCCAGATGCCAGGGTTCAAGGACTGGCTCTGACCCTAACCGGTTTGGCTCAGTGGATAGAGCGTTGGCCTGCAGTCTGAGGGGTCCCAGGTTCGATTCTGGTCAAGGGCATGTACCTTGGTTGCGGGCACATCCCCAGTAAGGGGTGTGCAGGAGGCAGCTGATCGATGTTTCTCTCTCATTGATGATTCTAACTCTCTATCCCTCTCCCTTCCTCCCTGTAAAAGAATCGATTATATATATAAAGGCCTGGCTCTGACACTTACTAACCCTGAGCAAGTCACTTGACTCTGTGCCTCAGTCTCCTGACCTGTAAAATGGAGAGATTGCTAATATTAGTCACCTCAGGGGATGGCTCTGAGGATTAACATGTGTCACGGGGTACACACGTGTGATGTTGGCCACGATCCTTATTTAGTACACGCTAAAAGCAGCACGTTTCTCCCGGAACTTACTGCGCAGGTGCGCCAGGCTGTCGAGGCTGGGAAGCCCGGTGGCGGGTGGCAGCCCTCAAGCAGAAAGGGAGACTGGCTGGGGTGAATAGAGATGAGAAAACGGGGCTTCGCAGTTTGGGGACGGGTGGTGGGGGGCGGGCGCCCTGCATCAGCGCTGCCTCCTCTGTGCCCACAGGAGCTGAAGAGCCTGCTGGTGACAGGGCCCTGCACAGAAACGCTGGGGTTAATGAATCCTCCGGCTGTGGAGCCCTGCACCCACGTGGGGGCAGCCGGCCTGGAGAGCCTGCCGCTGGTGGGGGCCAGCCCAGCCGGGAGCCCCTCGTCCCCCAGGGACCTTCCCGAGCCCCGGGTGACCACGGAACATACCAACAACAGGATCGGTGAGTCGGCTGGTGTCCCTAGCGTGGTCAGGGTTAAGAGGGCAGTGGGGAGATGGGTGCTGGGCCCCTGGCCCCCACCTGGAAGTGGGGACCCTGGGTCTGGAAGGCCCCAGGCGTGGACTCTCCCACGGCCTTGTGAGTGGGAGGTGCTTTTGGTGAGAGTATTAGATGTGCCCTGTCAGCTTGTGAGACAGCGGTGGTGGCCCTGACTTCATGGGGCCGATGGGGGGGGAGGGGGGGTTCCTGAAATAATCGCTGAAGTTGTCTTGTGGGGTGGGGTGGAGGGAAGAGGCGCCCCCTGCCTGGTGCCCTCTATTATTAGAGAGAAAAATGAACACTGCCCCCAGCCCCCAACAGAGAGCCCCTGAGGGGACCCGGGAAGACACACAGTGACATAAGAGCCGCCCCTGGCCTGATCATTCCGGGCACCGGGCGAGCGTCACCTCACGGTCACACCGCCTGGGAGGCTGGTGTCTTCCCCTTTTCGCAATTGGGGAAACTGTGGGTGGGGCGGGGGTGACACGACTTTCCTGGGCACACGACTGTGAGGTGGCAGGGCTGCGGCTTGTCCGAAACCCCAGGTTTGTCTGCACACCAGTCCTGGTGGCCTTGCGGGTACCACGGCCAGCACTTCCCAAATGACAGCTGCCCTCCCGCTCGAACACACCCCCCCTTCAGCCTCTCCTGCCTACTACCACCAGAACGTTTCTCCCAAGTTGTATACCTCTCTCTATTACACACTGCTTAAAACCCGCCAGGGGTCCCTGCTACTTCTGGATGACTGCCAGGGTTCTTATTCCGGCATTCAAGGCTGGTCACCAGCTGCCTTCTCTCCACCAGGCTCACCTGCCTCCTGACCCTGCTCAATGGCAGTTTCCTAAGCGTACGGAGCCCTTGCTCACTTCTAAGCTTCTCTGTGGGAGCTGCTTCCTTGCCTGGGACAGCCAGCACCACCCACTTGAAGACCCTGTTTATTCCCTCCTCCTCCCGGAAGCCTTCCTTGCTCTTCCCGCTCTCCTGTCTAGGCCAGATGGCCTCTGCTGTGCTCCCCCCGACTCCAGGCCTCCCCCCCAGTGTCCTCAGCACTGGCAGCGTGGCTGTGTTTGTGGCCTTCTCCTGCCCCTCACCTGTCTGTGAGCTCCTGGGGCCAGGGCCTCGGTGCGCCCCCTCCTCGTCTTCTCTGGAGGGTTAACCACCACTCGGATGACACCAAAGAGGCATTTGCGGTCGCAGCACACATTTCTATGGCAGGCCTGGTGGACAGAACTCTTTAGAGCAGAGTCTTTCGTATCAAATGGAAACTTTGGGAGCTGCAGCTTTTGGGTGTTTTTTTTTTAATGAGTTTTGGGAAATATCGCCAAAGGCATCTCCTTCACATTTCCGAAGAAGCCCTAATTTGGAGTTTGGAGCCTGTGCTGAGTTCAGTGCCTGGAAGTGCGCGGGTGGGGTTCTGGAGTGTTTGAGGGAGTGGCGGAAGCAGGTACCAGACTCCCAGGGCAGCTGGGGTGTGGGGAGCGGTGCGGGCAGCGGCATGGGCAGCCTGCCCAGAGCCAAGCCAGCCTGCGGGCCTTGCTGGGCGTGGGGTGGTGGGAGGGAAAGCCTGGGAGGCTCTCTTGGGATACCCAAGGGGCAGTGAGCCCCTTGTCCCTCTGACACTACCTCAGAGGGGCACCCCTTGTTCAATTCCCAAGGGGACCAAACTCCTGCCTGAGCTTCATCACTCCCCCTGACCATAGCACCAGGCAGGCGGCCCCTTTCCCCCACCTTCACCCCCCCACACACTCCAACACACACACACAGCTTCCCTGGATTCGGAGCCCTGGGTGAGTCAGGAATCCCAGTAGCTTCTAGAAAACCCTCCCCCTGCAGACTGGGGGCTGGGCAGCTCTGTGATGGGGTCAGAGCCAGAGGACTCAGGACGCAGGAATGTGAGGGGAATGATAGTCTGGCCCCCAAATTTGGTCTCTTCAACTTGGACAACCCACCCTGCTCCTCTCTGTCTGTCTCTGTCCGTCTTTCTCTCACCTCCTCTAGCCCTGCCTGGCCCCCTCTGTGCCCTCCCTCTCTCTCACCTCCCGGGGCGAGGGGCCTGCAGGTCTTGGTGAAGATGTGTGTGGCTGAGGCTGAGGCCCTCTTCTCTCTTTTGGGGTGTAGGGGGTCCCAGCCCACAGCTTTTCTCGCTCTCTCCCTCAGCCTCTTTAGTTCCTGCTGCTATTTTGAACACTTCTCTCTTTCCTGGGGGTGTTAAAACCAACACAGAAGCGCCGGCATTATGTAATGGGATTGAGGGTGCAGGGGCCCCAAGAATATTTTGGGGGTTCCTGAATCAGAGGGGTGTAACCGGTTACCCAGAGAAGCAGGGATCCCGAGCCCCCTGCCCCACCCCAGCTCTCAAGTTCCCTCTTGAGCTTCCCCATTCAGCCTCCAGAATCCAGGGCTGAGCAGCTGGGAGCTGGGACCCTGCCCTGAGCCTGAGATACCGGAAGAAGCCCAGCTGGTGCTTGAAGTCAGCTGACCTGGCTGCAGGCCGGGCTCCCCACTTCCCAGCGTCTTTGGCAGCTTCCTTAACTCCCCTGAGCCTCCGAAACCCCCAAAGGAAGGAAATGGTGTTGAGGACCCGGGGAATCACACCTCTAATGGGCTGGGCGGGTCTTTCATCCAAGTGACATACATAAGCAGTCCTACTGTGTGCTAGGCAGGCACAGCCATGAGGCCTCGGTGTGTGTGTGGGGGGCGAGGGGGGCGGGGGGGGCAATAAGCGATTAACACTGAAATATACCGCCCCTCCCAAAGCTGCCGGAATCAGGCTGCTGGGTTACTTGCGGCTGAGGGTTCTGCAGGGGTGACAGCTGCCTGGCTTGCTGGGTTGAACTTGCACAGCAAACACCAGAGCATCCCGGGCAACCTGGGACACGCTGGTTTCTGCTTTAGGCCTGTGGAAAGGAGTGGAACGGGCAGCGGGGCAGGAGTTGCTTTGGGGATTTCTGCTAACTACCTGGTGACCTTGGGCAGGTCATTGAACCTCTTTGGGCTCCAGGTCCTTCACCTGTAACTGGGGCTAAGAACAGACTGTTTACCTGGCAGAAGGGATGCGAGGATTCAGGAGCTAAAGCGTGGAGAGTGAACCTCTTCTCGAGTTCCCTGGTGCTAGTGTCATTATTTTAGTCTTCGTTCTCGATTACAGTGGACATTTGCAGGAGCCATGGGGACTGATTCTACTTGCTTCCTCTCCACGCCTGGCTTTCTCTCCTGTCCCCGTTCTCTCCTTCCCCACCCATCCTTGCAGAAGTGCCCAGACAACCACAGGCATCACCCATAGGTAGCAAGTGGGCCAGTGGCTAACTCCTCAGCACCCAGTTCCTGGCTGTGAGGTTGGCAGGGCTTACTGCGCACCAGAGAGGTTGTGCCACCTGCCTGAGCCACACAGCGGGGGTGGCAGAGCTGGGCTGGGACCCTCCTCCGCCCCCTTGCTCATCCTCTGGGCTCTCACCTCGCGTCTCCTTCCGCTTTGCAGAGAAAATCTACATCATGAAGGCCGACACAGTGATCGTGGGGACCGTGAAGACCGAGGCGCCGGAGGGCCGGGGCCTGGTGGGGCCGGCGGGGCCCGAGCTCGAGGAGGACCTGGAGATGGACCATGCCCCACACTACCCGGAGCAGGAGACGGAACCACCTCTGGGCAGCTGCGGGGATGTCATGTTCTCGGTGGAGGAGGAAGGGAAGGAGGACCCCTTGCCTGAGACGGCGTCTGGGAAGTGAGGCCTGGCTGGGGCTGAGAGAGCAGCTGGGTGCCCCTGGGACCGGGTGGCACGGTGGGCCACGCTGGTGCAGAGGCCCATCTGCTGACCTGAGTTTCCAGCACCCAGTGGTCAATGCAGGAGGGGCCTGGGGGTCTCCACCTGCATCCCCACCCAGCTGCCCCCACCCTGACCCTAGGGCAGTGGGCTGTGCAGGGGAGACAACCAGGGTGCTGGATTTGAATGGCGATGTTTGCTGGGGCAACAGAAAGACAGACAGTAGGGACTGGACGCTTCGCCTCTGCTGCTACTGAGAAGATACCCCAGAGTCCTGGCATGGGCCCCCCGCCCTCCAGGGTGGAGCCCCCTGGAGGCAGAGACCATGAGGCCCACACCCCAAGCCGTCTCCCCTCAACTGGGCCCCTGGAGAGAGACCCACGGGGCCTTGCTACCAGGCCAACAGCCCGCAGTTACTGTAAACTCGGCCAGCAGTGGCCTCGAGCCAGTGCCTGTGGTTTCTCCTCTGTCAGAAGGGAAACAGAGGGATCGGGCAGCCGGCTGGCCCGTCTCAGCCACTGCGGCCATGCTGTGCTCTGTGCCTTAGGCCTGGTGGTGCCCAGCCTGCCTCCAGCCCTGTGTGGGCCGAGGGGGGACCCTCCTGGTGCTGCCCTTTCCCTGTTCTGTGGCCCCACGGTGAGCCCCTGGCCTAGGATCAACTCACTCATCTCAGAATGTCCCTACCAGTCCCAGTGACAGTGGGCCCTTCGGGGTCCTTGCCCGCTCTGTCCTGGGAAATGAAGATGCCCTTCCCCGGATCTGCCGCCCTCGTGGGTCCCCATGGCACCAGGCCTGCCTCTTGCAGCAGCTGCTCCGCACCCGTGTTGGGACATGGATGTCAAAAGCCACGTCTGCCTTATCCTGGGCTTGGGGGGAAGCTCTGCGTAGCTCAGTATGGGGTCAGGATGTCTGCATCTCACACTAAGGAATAATCGGTCGGCTGGCCTGCTCTCCCAGGGCTTTCAGACGCGTGTACACAGGCGCGTGGCCTTGGAAAGGGACCTGTGGGCAGACGACAGGGGGCAGCAGGCCGGGCACCGAGTCTCGGGTCCTGGAATTACCCTCCGAAGCCAGTCCTGAAAGCTGCTGTTTACGCACCAGCCTCTCATCGCTGGAGGAAGTCGGGGCTGGGTCAGGAATCGCAGGGGCCGTTTCTGAGATCTCTCAGGTATTTTGGGGGAAGTTGGAGAGACCGTTACACCAGAACCTGGAGAAGTTCATGTGGGATGGGTGATCTTTGCCCAAATGCCTGTGTGGGCGGCTTTGCACCCGAGCCTCTGTGCCCAAAGTCAGCACGCGCCCAGCACCTTGTGGGCAGGGCTCAGGCTGCCTGTGGGGGCCGCTGACATCTGCTTAATGAAATGACGCACTCCCTCGCCCAAGAGCCCTTCACAGAACATGATCTTTTAAAAATTCACAAAGTTCCTTACCAATGACCATAAGGCTGAGGACTCTCTCATGGAGACTGAGAGTCTTTGAGAAGCTCTGAGGACGGGGATCCCGCCACCCCTCTGCCTGGCCTCTGGGGACAGGGCGCTGCTGCCTGCAGAGCCACCCCTCCACTGCTGGAGGGTCTTCCTCCCTGTAACTCCCGCGCCCTGGCCCAGGCCTGCCTCGAGGACACTCTGAATAAAGCTGCTCAACACCAGGCTCCCTGTGGGTGTTTGCAGAAGGGGCTGTGGGGAGAGGGCATCACAGAAGCTGCACAGATGCCCCAGCCTGGGGGTCACAGGGAGGGACTGAAGGGTCAATGTGAGCCGAGGGCTGCATGCAGGAGCTGGAAGCCCCCCCCCCCCCCCCCCCCCCCCCCGCAGGACTCCAGGCCCCGCCTGTGGCCAGTGTGGGCCGGGCGAATATCCCTGCCCTCCAGTGACAGGGCCTTCTTAGCCTCTGCTGTTCAGATGGGCAGGTGGACCAGGGCCCTGCTGCTCAGGGTGGCAGTTCCCAGGGTGCAGGGCACCTCACACATGTGCACACCCCCTTCCTGAATGGCCGCAGTCAGGAAGGAGTGATAAGTGTCCTGTGGAGGCTGTCATACTCGGAGAAACCCCGCTGTCTCCCAGAGCGGTCTCGGAGGTGGGAGATGACTCTAGGTGCTTACGGCCAGGCCCCTCCCCCCCACCCCCCCCTCAGATGGAGCAGGAGACTCAATCTTGCGTGTCTCCATCTTCCCACACCTCCCACCCCAGTCATTGCTGTCCCATAGCCCCAGGGACTGCTCTGCTGGGCTGAACAGAAATGACTGTGCAGAGGCGAGAGGCCGCCCTCCAGCTGAAGTTTCTTGGGTGCCTTCTCACCTCCACCCCTTCCTTGGTCCTCCCTGTCCTTGTGGGGGGCAGGGAGGGGCTGGGGACAGATGGGTGGGCAGGGACCCGATTCACTCATAGGCCCTTGACCGTGTCAGTCCTGCTTGACTGGAAGCCAAGGTGAGAACATTAAACGCTTCAAGGATGGCTACTCCAGCCCAAGGGGAAGCTGGCCGAGCCCACCTGGGGCTCCTGCACCCTCCCCAGGCCCCTGGCCCTGGGCCAACACCCATGCTGGGCGCACACCTGGGATCCTGCGGGGTGCCCCAGAGCAGCAGGTCAGCAGCGGAAGTGACTGAGGTGCGGACAGTGTGCGGCAGGAACTGGGATTCAGGCCCAGCTCTGCCGCTTAGTGGGGCTATCTAGGTTAGGTGCCTTGATCTCCCTAGAGCTCAGTTTCCTGATCTATGAAATGGGCCAGGGTTGTGGGGTTCCCTTAAGCGCCACCTGACATGCGGCTGGTGTTTACTGCGTGGCAGCCTCTGTCCTCGGTCCAGCCCAGCGGCCACTTGCCAAGGGTGAGCCCTTCCTGGGTCTGCAGAATTCAGCCCCTCTAACTTACCAACAGGTAACTTCCAGGAGGCATCGGGCTGAGAACACTCTTCTCCCAGAAAAACAACATGAAAGCTGGTGGCTGGTTCCAGGCTGGCGTTAGCTTCGGTGAGGCTGACAGGCTTCCAGGCTCTCCTGGGGCCTGGCCTCCCTCGGGGTGTGTTGCTGTGGGAACCCCACAGTGGACAGACTGCTTCTTGCTCCGTGGGGCACCCAGAGGACCCCTCATGTCACAGTCACAGGAGTGGCGGTTGGTTAGATGTCTGTAACTCTGTGCATTTGCGAAGTGTTGCCGGTCCCGCTGCAGGGACATCCTGCTTGTGGTCCCAGGGTGCTCCAGGCGGCACCGCGTTGCTGTTCAAAATCTCCTTTCCTCTCCTTCCCTCCCGCCTCCCTTCCAAACACACCTGTGATGAGCCAGGCCCGGTCCAGCTGCAGAGGATGCGCTGAGCTCAGACCGCCTCCGTGGGCCCTGTGTCCAGTGGCTGAGATCCACGATGGCACAGAACCGAACCTGTGAACAAGGTCGTTCCGGAGACGATGGGGTTATGTGCTAGCGGCGCCCCAGTTAGGGGACCAGGCAGCGCCTCGAAGGCAGGGTCGGCTCTAGCCAGGTGGTCCAGGAGGTGCCCTTTGAGCTCCACCTGAGTGACATGATGCGTGGGCGAGGGGAGGACCTGGGGGCCCAGCGACCTGGGAAGTCATGAACCACCGCTGCAAAGGCCCCCAGGTGGGGAGGCTCCTGGCCTTGGGACTCGAGGAGCACACCTGGTGGGAGCACCGGGGCCGGGCGGAGAGAAGGTGAGCAGGCAGGCTGACAGCCAGGCCACGGAGGGCCTCGCGGGCCATTGCAAGGTGCTCAGATTTTATCGTCAAACGGATGGAGACTTGACTTGGGGTGGTGAACACACAGTACAGTGTACAGCTGATGTGTTGTGGAATTGTGCGCCTGAAGCCTGTGTAATTTTGTTAACGGTGTCACTCTAATAAATTCAATAAAAAGGAAAAGGAAAAAAAAAGAAATAAACATGAACGAGGAAAAGTTAAAAAGAAAAGACTACATTTATTTTCCCTCCCGTTAGAACAATAAACATCCTGCTATTCTCTCAGCAGTGGGCGGGAAAGGCCAGCAAAGGTGGTTTCAGCTGATTTCAGACAAAGGCTGAGGCTGCTGGTAGCCGGGAAACAGTTGGATGTTTCTCAGAAAGGCCTGCGGGAAGGCTGCTCCCAGCGAATTAACGAGGAAAGCAGCAGCTCTGGGGCCAGGCTGCTGTTGCCGAGATGGGGGGGGGGAGGCTGGCTGGCTGGCAGGCAGTCAGTCTAGGTTCCTCTTTCTCTGGGTGTCTTCCAGAAGAGTAAAAACCAAACCAAGAAATCCTGGGGAGGCCACGGGCCTTTGTTTGTGTTGGGTGTGGGCAAACTCCCCGTCCCATTTCATTAGGGCTCCTGATGTGGGGGGTGGAGCGGGGAGGAAGGAGGAAGGAGCCTTTGGGTCTCAATCTCCAGCTCGAGGAGTTCCCAGCTGCAGGGCCTCAAGCGAAGCCCTTAAGTGCTTTCAACTTTGGTTTCCTGATCTGCAACCCGTACATGATAATGACTCTGCGTTAGGTGGATGGAGGTACAATGCGTGAGGTCTTGGCCTGGTGCCTGGCATGTTCCCTGTTCAGAAAACGGTAGTCACCACCAGCAGCCCCTAGAAAACACCTGAAAAGCCGTCAGGTTTATTCAAAGCTTTCTACATTCTTCATGCACTTGGGCCTCAGCATCGCAGCTGGAAGTAGAGGGGCTGAGTATCAGCACTCCCCTTGACGACCTGAGGCTCAGAGAGGTGAAGCAACCAACCACAGTCACACAGCCAGGAAGCGCCAGAGCTAGAGTTCAATCCCCCAACTCTGTGGTTCCAAGTCCCCCTCTGCCCATGCGCCATCCCCTCTGTGGCCCCCCGCTGTGTTTACATCACAGTTATCAGCAGATGCTATGCCCTCTAGACACGTTTCCTTTCGCCTCCAAGTCTCCACAGCTGGGAGGTAGGGAGGAGGTTGATTTTATTCCTCCGTTTTATGCAAGAGGCTAGGCAACTTGCCTGAGATCAAGCGGCAGCCCAGCTGTGATTTCTTTCTGATCCTCCTGCCGCAGAGCTAACCCAGCCAGAGCCTTGCTCCTCGGGGCGGCTTTCCTCGAAGGTGGCCTGATTCTGAGATAGGGAGGCCGAGGCCTGGGAGGACAGATGAACAGAGAGCCTCCGCTGGAGGACTGGCCAACAATCGGATCGCCTTTCACATCCTCAGAACTCATACCCCGCTCTCTGCCCCATGCCAGGATCCAAGGGCAAGAACAAGCCTCCCCATTCTCCAGATGGGGAGACCGCGCCCTGTAGGGGTAAGGTGGTTTGCCTGAAGAGCCAGCTTGGTAAGTTTGGTCCTTGCTGTGGAAGTTGGGACTGGGGCGGGGAAATGGCCATCTAGCCTGAGTGAACAGTGAAGATTATTTGCTGATTCTCAATCTTCCTTTGGAAAAAAAAATGGTGTTAAAGTGAAAGCACCTGTGGTAAGAGCGTTGGGTGTGTATTTGTACAACAGCTTTGTAAGAGCCAAGTGGTCCCCATAGACCAACCGTGGGAAAACTACGGCCTGCGGGCCGGATCCCGCCCGTTTGAAATGAATAAAACTAAAAAAAAAAAAGACCGTACCCTTTCATGTAATGATGTTTACTTTGAATTTATATTAGTTCACACAAACACTCCATCCATGCTTTTGTTCCGGCCCTCCGGTCCAGTGTAAGAACCCACTGTGGCCCTCGAGTCAAAAAGTTTGCCCACCCCTGCCATAGACCAGTGGTTCTCAACCTTGGCTGCACATTAGAACCACCTGGGAATCTTTTTAAAGTCCTGATGTCTGGGCCCATGGGAGTTTAAAATCAGGATTTTAAAAAGATTCCCAGGTGATTCTAATGCGCAGCCAAGGTTGAGAACCACTGCCATAGTCCGACAGACAAGCACAGACAAGAAGCAGGACGCCTGTCGCCTCCTGGCCCTCCGGCCCGTGCAGTCCCACAGGGTCCCTGCCGAGAAGGGCCGAGCCTGGTTCATACGCTGCTGTCACCGTCTGGAAAATGATCCACACGCTTTGAACGAGGGGCTCTGTGTTTTCATCTTCCCTGGGTCCCGCACGTGATGTAGTCGATCCCGCACTGGGGTCAGGGGACTTGTCTGTTCAGGACTTAATGCCAGGGCCCTTCATTTGCATCTCCGCTGACCTCCCAGTAACCATGGTTACAGGTGAGCACGTGGGTTCCCAGGTCTCCAAGTGTTGACTGGCTGGTGACTGACCTTAACTGTCCCAGTGGTCTCTTGTCACCTCAAAACTGAGTGGCTTAAAACAACACTAGTCATTTATTTCGCTCACACATCTGCGGTTGGGCCTGGCTGGCTGGGGAAGGCTCATCTCTGCTCACAGCGCCAGCTGGCACCCGGCACTGCACTGCTGAGGCGGCTGGCAAGCTGGGGCGCGCCGAGGGCTCCTTGCAGCATGGTGGCCGGTTTCCTAGAGCGAATGACCCAGGGTAGGAAGTGGAAGCCGCCAGGTTCTGAATATTTGGGCCCAGGCGCGGTATCACTTTTGTCCCATTCATTCATGGGTCCAGCAGTCACCGCGCCCAGATTCACGGGGAGGGGATGTAGAGCGTCGAAGACGCGTGAGATCTCTGTGTTAGGCACTGCCCTGAACGCTTCCGTTGCCTCATTACATTCTCCTGATACTTTGGTGCTTAGTGTCCCCAGAGTTGCCTCAAGGAAGTGAGATAACCTGGCCAAGGCCGCCTGGCTGCAATTTGAATCCAACTGTGTCTGTCTTCCCCAGAGTGTGAACTCTGGACCATGGGGCCCCCAGCAGTCAGCACCGGGCAGGGCCAGAATTCAAACCTGCATTCGAGAGTATTGAGGCTTTCAAAAACATCAGCTCCAAAGCTCTCGTTTTCCAGTTGGGGAAACTGAGGCTCCGACAGGTCTGGTTGGGCCTCCTCTGAGAAGGAGGGCAGGGCTCGGCACCTTCCCGGGCAGGATGGGCCTCCACCCCCGGTCACACAGAGCCTGGTCAGGAAGCCGCAGCGCTGTGGGCAGATTATGCAAGAGCAGGCTGTCGCGGGGACGTTGTTTTTCACTGCGATTACACTTTGCTCAGGAAATACCCACAGCCTCGGCGGGTGGCGAGGGAGGGCACCTCACCTCGGGCCGAAGACCCCCCTGAACACTGGGCACTCCCGAGGTGGGCCAGGGTCCCCTGGGCCATGTCCATTCATCGAAAGTTTCCCGAGAACCACTGTGCCTCTTTGAGCTGGGCTCTACCAAAAGCGACGTGAAGGCCTCCGCTGGGCCATCCGGGAAGTCAACGTGAGGTGGAACGGCGATAGGAACTCTTCATGGTTGAGGCTTTTTGTGCTAACTCATTTAAACCTCACAGCGCCCTAGGCAGTGGTTGCTATTATTACGCCTCTGTTACCGGTGAGGAAACCGAGGCACGGGCTAGTTAAGTTCCTGCCCACGGTCACACAGCAGCTAAGGGGTGTAGGCAGGATTCAAACCTGGGCATCGGGCGGCAGTGCGAGCTGCCCATCATTTGGCATGCTGTTCCATGCGGCACAGACTGAGGTCACCACTGTGCTGTGGCCCCAACCCTGAGTCTTGGGCCCTTTGGAACACTGCAGGCATCCCAGGGCCCGGGGAATGTACAGGGAGTGCGTCCTGGCTCCATCTGCCTTTTCTTCCCAAAGCCCAGGTATGGCCAGGCCACTCGCTCACAGAGCCTTCTGTGGTTCCCCAGTACCTGCAGGCCAAAGTTTGCCAAGCCAGACCTGCCAGGCATGTTCTGCTCCCTCCCACTGCTCCTGTATTCAAATTCCCAATGAAACCCAACTGTGACACCTGCCCCCTCCCCCCATCGCTGAACACTGCTCAGTGCCCCAATGCCAGACCTCCATTCTCATCTTCCCCTTCCTCCTCCAGGAAGCCTTCCAGGACCACCTGGGACCAGGACCTTTGTGTCCTCTGAGTTCCCACAGCACTGACTGTTCCAAAAGCCCCGCAAAAAAGATCTGTATGAAAAGGTGAATTTGTTTATTTTTTTTCAGTCATTCAAGCAACAGATCTGTATAGAGTACCTACTGTGTGTCAGGAACTGTGCTGGGGAACGTGGCGGGGGTAGGTGGGGACAGGGGTATACGGCACTGCTCTCAGGGAGTCCAAGCCCAACTGGGCAGCAGGCTGACTCAGGTAAAAGTGTAGCTGTAGCGCCCACTGTGTGCCATCTAGCCCAGATGGTGTGCCTCCGCCCCCTCCTCTGTAACGTGGATGGAATGAGAGTACCTATCCCAAAGCAAGGGTGCGAGGATGAGGTTCATTCATTCATGCGGAGGGGCAGTAAGGAGCATGGGCGATAGCCTCAGCCAGGGGTCACTGCAGAGGTGGTGGGGCCCTGAGTGTGGGTCGGGGGGCAGCCAGGGCTTGGGGATTTGGCACATGTCACAAAGTTCCGGGAGGATGGAGAAATTCGGGGCATGTGGGGGCCAGTGGGCAGTTGTGATCGGTGTGTCAACAATGACAGCATTGCCCAGTTGGTGGCTGAGTGTTGACCTATGAACCAGGAGGCCAGGGTTTGGCTCCCGGTCAGGGATCATGCCTGGGTTTCGGGCTCAATCCCCAGTGTGAAGCTTGCAGGAGGCAGCAGATTATTGTTATAATTGATGTTTCTCTCTCTCTCCCTTTCCCTTCCTCTCTGAAATCAATAAAAATGTATTTAAAACAAGAAATGAGAGCGTTTGTGAGTCTGGGGTGATGCATTTGCGCGTCTGGGTCTCTAGGGAAGATGATGGAGGTAGTTCTGAGGCAGGCGTTGTTCTGCAGGAGCTGGGAGGGAGACTGGACAGGCTGGGCTGGGTGGTTGGTGGGAAGTTGCATCCGCCTTAGGAGGGTTGGG